TTTGTATTTATTGTTTCTGCTGAATTAATGGGAATTAGGGGAAAGGCATGTCTGTGCCAGTGAGCCTTTATTAGAACAGGTGTGTGCCGTGCTGAAAAATAAAAAATAAAAAAAAAAGGAAAAGAAGAGACAACGCCAGACATCCGAGCGAGAGGTCATCAGCATGGGCGCTGAAGAGGATCGATCCTGAGGATTGAAGCCAGGCAAACTGCCAGGTTTGACTGAGGTGCCAGTGAGGTGCGCAGAGGCCACAGCAGTGTCACCTGCCTGGTAAAGCCAGAGAGAGGAACGGATCACGCTGGAGAGCCGTGACGACTGGGCTCCCTCACTTGTCGGCTTGCTCACCTCCAGGACCCGGAAAGCTGCTGGACCCGACTCGGAGCGAGAAGCAGATGAGAGCGAGATAGGAACAAAGCTCGCATCCCACTGCTGCGGCCCCAAGTGGAGCCAGTGAGATCTGCATGTTTTGAGGGGGGTATTTATTACTGGGATACCACCCTTTTTCCCTTATTAGGAGCGATCGCCTTTTTTGTATATTTTTTGCGCAAGATAAGTAAATAATTTCAATTCAAAGATACTTTATTAATCCCAGGGGGAAATTAGAGTTTCAATACACATAATTCAGAGATCAGACATACATACAGGCATAGACACATGACAAGATTTGGTGACTGTGGTCATTCGCAACCTGAGTCGCGCTACTTTAATAGAGATCAGAGTGTTACATGAGGATTGGGTCAGGTGAAGGAAAAAAGGCACTTCAGAGTTACCCTCCAGAGGTAGGGCAGCTTTGCTATGCAAAAAACACCTCAGACAGAGATGCAACAGACTTCAGACATCACACAACATAAGTGTCCACTAGGTGGGGTGGTGGGGTTTTGGGACTATCCACACGTCAGTGCATGCAGCCGCGATAAGCGGTGCTCATCACCTCCGTTTGGACAGGGGTGGGAGGTCGTAGGATTTAGAGAGCACAGTGACTCCTGGAATGATTCAGCGGCCTTCTCCGGTCACAGTCCCGCCCAGGCTGGGATAGGGAGACAGAGTTGCCATGGCGATGGCAGCATTCCACATTTCTTCTGAGTGGGGAGTATTTGATTCAGCCTCACAGGCTCAAGGGTACCAGATTCAGATAAGAAATTGTTTTGGGGCCAGACAGATATAATTTCCTCTCCGTCTTAAAGTTCTGTTGGTCCTCAGCCCCTCTAAATCCAATAATGGCGTAATTAATCTATCCCAATCCATGCTGACCCGTCAACTTTCTCCTTGATGGCATCCACCTCCTGTGCCGGAGTCTGAATCTCAGACAAAGTCCCAAGCTTACGACTCATCTCGACAATTAAATGAGTCTGTGCATTCACAGCGTGGTGTAATCCATCTCTGAGCTCCGGGAGCAAGCCAATATTCCTCGACAGCTCGTTAGTTTTCCGGTAAGTCAGGTAACCTCACAGGCCAAAAAGCAGGAAACCTGACACCAACACCACGAATATCCAGACGTCTTCAGAATCCTCTACAGATAGCTGAGAGAGGCAGATCAGGTTCCACTGTTTCCAGGAGTCCATGATATACCCAACTGGCTCTGTCCCAGAGGGGCACCGGGAGCCCCTTCTCCCGTTCTCATCGTTGAAAAAGTTTTGTCAATCGCATTGAGAGCCCAACTGACCAGGTCCATTTTTATAATTTCAATTTCCAGTTTTCCAGAAAAATGCAGAAGCGCCGTACACCCAGAGACAGACAAAGAGGCTTGGGATAAGATAGGGAGGAGAGGAGGAAAAAATGCGTCTGTACTCTCCAAGAGCCGGAAGAAGAAAAAAAATAAAATAAAAAATAAAAAAATTGGGGGGATTAAGTACAAATAATACTCGGCTTTTGCTCCTATTTAATTAAAATTTTTAGATGGACATTTAGGGGTTATTTTGATTGCAGTATTAACTCGATTATGTGACTGACCCCCCCCCCCCCCCCCCCCCCCCCACACACACACACACAAAAATAAACAATCAATGATGAACAAGAGTCTGCTTCTAGACCTGCAGAAGAGGGACACACAACAGTACAACAGGAGCAAGCTATCACTGTGTCAACCTGATGAGGAAATATAAAATCAACATTGTTTTACTGAACAATCACACGATAATAAATCACAGTGCATTTAGTGCCAACCACAGCCTTAAGACGTGTGTTGAACGTGCCCAAGTCCATACTTTTGAGAGCACCATGTGAGCACCTGTGTGTGTACACGCGCTTGTTTATGTAAGGTTTCTCTATAGGAGCGTCCAATAGAGTGTGAGGGGCCATAGATCTGCCCCCCAAAGATGTGTAGGAGATAGCGGGAGCTCCAAGTCTCAGAGATCCGGGAGCTGCCCCAGAGCGCAGGGACCCCAGGGAGACTGCAACCAGAAAAGCCCCTGACCCCCTCAAGAGGCACAGAGGATTGCCCCGGGGGGCCACAACCAGCAGCCGGCAGAGTCCCAGGGGATATCAGCGGCAAGCCCACAGGCCCACCCGCAGCCTCCCACCCCCAAGCTGACCGAGCCCGGGAACCAGGGGTGACCAGCCCCGCTGGGGACCCAACAGAGCCCACGGACTCAGATCCCACCAGGCAGCCACCGGGATTAATCAGGCAGACGCCAAAAATCTTAACCCCCCTCACCCGGGAGCCGCGAACACTCAGACAGACCAAGGCACCACACTCCAGTCCTAAAGAAGTTTTTAATGATAAGCACGCGGGACATAACAATGGACAGATAAGGAACACAGAACTGGGAGGGTTTAAATACACAAGGAGCTGGCATCTAAAGTGATTGGGAGACGAGAGGCAGGTGGGAGCAATTAGGAGAGACACAGGACTGAACAGAATGGGGAGACAGGACAGGTTGTGACAAGGATCTGCCAAAGGAAGTGAAGGTCACAAGTGAGAGAACACACGCATAGGTCAGACCAGTAGGACGTCCGGTGTGTTGTCGTGAAAAGTGACAACCGGCAGCGCATGCAATTTGATGTATTAGTAATGGGTCCAGCAACACTGATGCACCAGTGCATGTATCTGGCTCATTAGAGCGACACCCTCGTCAGTGTGTGTATCGTTTAGGAAGTAGTCACATGACCGGTACAGGTTCTGTGTCACTCACCAGCAAAGCGTTGAACTGTGTTTAAATACAAGAGCTCTGTCAACGAGATGAGTTTCTGCCTACTTATGAAGCAAAATGATTCCAGTGTTACATCAAGGAGCCAGAAAGAAAATGCAAGGTGGTCCATGAGGGATTATTTTGTTCTTATATCGACAAATAAGTTGTTTTATTTCCTTGTTTCATCTTGTTCCTCTCAGTTTCTGCTTGATCCATCAGAATGTCGTTTTTAAATTTTTGTTTTTTAAATTATTCATACTATTTTATGCAGGTTAAATGTCGCATTTGTTAAATTGAACTCACATACATTAATAAAAGAATTTAGTCAATTCCGAGACATTATAGAGAAACGCGTGGGAATTTGGCCGTCCGCCGGCCATCAGAATGGTGGGGTGGGGGTTGTGGACTGGACCAAATTGGATAAACAGCCCACCGGGACTTGATAAGTCTCTCTATTAGGTTTACTTGCAGTTATGTTTATAATCCAGCAGGTGTCAGTACACCAACACAGTGACACAGTGTTGACACGGTATAGAGTATCAATAGAGTTTGGGCAATGTGCCAAAACACTGGTCACGAAGCCTCATCTACCCATCACTAGTGAGTCTCATCCACTCAACAGTGACCACATCCTTCAGTCGGTAGATATCCCCTGGGGACACAGCGGGTAGAATCGGGATCTACCCAAAGTGGAATTGCGCTGCCCAAAGGGTCGTCACATGTTCCCTCGTAGTTCTGCCAAGCACGTCTTGAACCATATAGCCAGAAAGACAAGATACGGAGGAATCATCCCCATGAGGAGGGTGTCTATAGAAGCACTAACGTCCCAACTATAGTTGGACAGGTACATGGTCAGCAGCTGAGTGTGGGTGTGAACAACTGAGACGAGTGAACGTAGTTCATTCACTGCAGCAGTGGCCTTAGGCAACACCTCACTGTGCTTGTTCAGGACCACCATCTTATGGCATTCAGAAGAGCCTAGCAGCCTCAACGCACGCTGTTGGCAAAGCACCAGCTTACGCAGAGAAGGGACATGCCATTTGACAGCGCCAATGTCGATGGCTGAGAACCTCAAGTTAAAGTTAGCACCAAATGCACCAGCAATGGAAAAGAACTCCGGGAGGAAACATTTCTCCCTACGTTTTGCACAAGAGAGCTCCGAATTGGGAACCGTGAATTTCTGTAGCTGCATACATGTGAGCGACGTCGGCTTCAGAGTGCCACATCATAGTGTGAGTCCAATTGGTACCTGTCTCAGAAAGCACACCAAAGGAACTTAGCAGTTACCGAGCACAGGCCATTCGCAGTCAAACTTGACAAACACCTTCTGGGTGAACAGACAGTAGTTAGTCATCAACAGTGTTTAGAGTTAGCATCCAAACATCCATCCATTTTCTATACCTGCTTATCCACACAGTGCTGCGGGTGGTTGGTGCCTGGCCTGGTGCCTATCTCCAGCAGCAGTCTTTGGGCAAACAGGCGAGGTACACAGGGCAACACAAAGACACAAAGGACAACCAACCATGCACGCACACCCCCCACAGCTAAGGACAATTTAGAGAGACCAACCAACCTGACAGTCATGTTATTGGACCGCTGGAGGAAGCCAGAGCACCTGGAGAGAACCCATGCATGCGCAGTGAGAACACACACTCCTTTCAGACAGACCCCAGGTTGGGATGTGAACCCAGGACATTTTTGCTGCAAGACAACAGCTCTAACCACTGCGCCACTGCACAGTCCCTAATGTTAGCAATGATGTTTTACTCTTTTTTTTCTCTCTCCACTACAAAGAAGTTTTAAAGATTATCCTGGAAAAATACATGAAAGCTTTTGTTTCATGACTTTTTGTTTTGTGTTTTTATTTTTCAGAGTCAGCGTCTCAGCTCTCTGGTAAGAAATTCATGTCATGTTTAAAATTTTATATTATTTACATTTTCTGTGAAGTGATTTATAAGGTAAGCTGCTGTTACTGCATGTCTGGGTTTTTTAGTGTGTCCTGTGAGAGTTTTAATGTCCTCTCCTCAGTTTGTGGACAACCTCCACTCAACACTAAGATCGTTGGAGGACAGGTGGCCTCAGCAGGCAGCTGGCCCTGGCAGGTCAGTCTGCAGACCACGTATCACTTCTGTGGAGGATCGCTGATCAACAGTCAGTGGGTGCTGACTGCTGCCCACTGTCTTGCAAGGTGAGCATGAAGGGCAGACCAGATTAATCACACACAGAGTTTCATGGATAATCTATGCTAGTTGATCAGGTCTTGTGAGATGAACATCACACAGTCAACAGAGACTGATTTTGAAGATTGGCATCAGCTTGGTTAGAAACAATTCTCAATGTCCAGTCTGGTTAAAAAAAAGGGCTAAATCAGCAAGAACATAAAACATTAAAATCAATGGGACAACATAAAACAGTATATTTCAAAGTATGTAAGAATATAGTGAGAAGTTTACAATGACAAAATCCCAAAAGAGGCTAATGTTTTAATCATTTTGGATGGAAGGTTACATTGAAAGATATTTCTAATCCAGCTGGCTGCAAGGAATGTCAGATTTTCTCCTTTCAAAACAAAGGAATGAGGGACGTAACTACTGTTCACCATCAGTAAGTGTGTAAGTTGTGGGGTTGCCATGTCTCCTGCGAACTAACACTGTAGTGCCAAAAATTGTACTTTCACAACAGCCGAGAAAAAGCTCCAGAGTTGTTTAGAGTGGTTTCAGTAACCAAACGTCACCACAGGATGCTATTTTTACTTCATTTTTACATAATGCACCTTCTCAAATGTAAAAATACACAAATAAAATTAGAATAAAACAAAAGGGAAAAGTTAAAGACTGAGCAGTTACAATGCAGAAGGTGCAGCATAAGAGACAATCATTCAAAGGCTGATAAATACATGAAGGTTTTCAATTTTTATTTAAAAGTTAGAGTTAGGGCACATTTGAAGACATAAGGAAGCTGATTCTATCTGTGTGCAGCATAGTGGCTAAAAGCAGGTTTTACCAGCTGACTGTTTCCTGAGGATCTCAGAGCCCTGCTGGGTGTATATGCAGGAATGAGATCCAACATGTACTCTGGCCCCATCCCAGTGAGTAATTTATAAAGTAGTAGAAGTACTTTGAAATAGATTCTGTAGTTTACTGGTTACCGGTGTAGATTTAACAACAGGAGTGATGCACTCGGTTCTCTTGGTTCTAGAATTCTTGCAGCAGCATTCTGAATAAGCTGCAGTTTCTTAAAAAAAAATTGGGGGAAGACCAGACAAAAGACCATTACAATAGTCCAACCTGCTGGAGATGAATGCATGAATACATTTCTCCAGAACTGGGCTGCACATGAAACCTCTAAGTCTTCCTATTTGATGAAGATGATAAATCCTGATCTTAATGTGACCAATGAATAAAAGGTTTAGGCTAAATGCTTTAGAAGAAGGAAGACCTCTGCGTGTCACCTACTGTCGTGTACACCAGTTTTAAATTCTCTTATGCTAAGATGTGGTAGAGTTATAGCCAGGGCCGGCCCAAGCCTCTTTGGGGCCCTAAGCAGATTTTAATTTGGGGGCTCCTATAGTGCAGGTGCTCAATAATCAAATGATCATTCATAGGCCATATAATGTGTATGACATACTCACTATCATTAGCATAATTTGTAATTGGCTAATATCATTAAAGTGTTTTTATGACTATTTTAAAAGTAAACATGGAGCAATCAAACAAAACTATTCAATTTAGTTTGTGTTTTGAAACGCAGTGTTAAATATGCCATACTAACTTAAGTATTTGGAAGTAACATAAGCAGACAAACACGGACTTTACTGTAAAAAAAGTTACTGTAGGTTTAATATCTTTAGTTATTTAACGTGTAAAATATGGGAAATGTGCAATCATTACAAAACCAAACCAAATGACATTCACATTATCTATAAACAAAAAATATTAAAATATTAACTAAACAAATATAGAAGACTTAAATAACTGCACAAAATTATACAGACATACACCTAAACAGCAGTTGAAGAGTGATGTTGTTTAAGCAGTGCACCTATGTTGACTCAGTCACGCGGCCCCTCTGTTGCTGGTTTTGCGGACTTTTAGGAGAACAGTTTACAACAGAAGCAGTAGACCGCATCCTTTCATTTTGAGTAGGTTAGCCAACTTTGTTTCATTTTTCCCCATTAACCAACTGTCTATGTGTAGTGACAGTGAAAGGTTCAGCCATCAGGCTTCTTCGGGAATGTAACGTTTTCTCTTACAGAAAATGGTCCTCTGCTTACCAGATCAGTCCTTTCTGAGTCAGACAACATATGAGACCAGTCAGATGGGTGAACTGGAGATGCAAATCCATGTTGATGGCTGGAATTTGTGGACGGTGCAGCATCTATTCCTGAAGCAGACAAGCCTGAGTGAAAATTACAGTAAATATCACAATTGCAATTTAGCATTTATTGAAGTAATTTCAGAAAATACTGAAGAAGCCCTGTGAACTGACCTGGTGCAGCAGTTGATGTTGAAAAATCCACGAGGCTGAAGTTAGCTTCTGATTCGGGAAACGGCTAAAGGGCCAATACACCCAATTTTTCTCTACTCTGACCATCTTTAATCTGCTCTGGCTCAAAAACTACAACAGCCACAGTGTTCAGACCTGTTCTAGATTATTCTACAATAATAGCAGATGGCATACAACCTTGTTTGGGATTTGTGAAACCTTTCGCTGATTTGTGAAAAAATAAAAAGCTTTGACCCCTGCACTCTTTACCATCCAAAAACAATATTACAATATATTAAGTTGACATTGGTTGAGCTCTAGGACCAAGCGGAAAACAACCATTTGTGTTGAAGCCTGTAGAGCGTACTGTAAAGACACCCCCCCCCCCCCCCCCCCCCCCACACACACACACACACACACTTCTAAAGTGAAAATTACATCCATGGTTGACCTGAAGAGGCGGCTCTCCTGTGTTGTGTTATGTTATTGTGTAGTTGTTGTTTAGTTTCTCTAATGTAAACATCTGGACAGTCCTCACTACACTGGACTGCATAAATGACCCCACTGAGCTTCTGTTTGGGCGTTTTGTCTTCTGGATGGACCAGGTTCTGTCTGAGGGTGCTGTTGGGTTTAAAGTTTACCGGGATGTTGTGTTTGGAGAAGATTCTTCTAAGTTTCTCTGAGACTCCTGCCACGTATGTGATGATGGTGCCTTTGTGTAAAGGGTGTTAGGGGTTAGGGTTAGGTTGGTAGCAGAGCTCTCATGTTTAGTGTTGAGTTCAGTGAGATCATGGAATGGGATCAAGAATTTTCTACTGACAGGAGAAAGATCTCAGCTAACATAGCCGTAGATCACACTGGATAAGTCTCTGTGGTTGCATTTATTTTACATTTATTTTACTACCTCTTACTAGAGCTGTCTTTAGTAGGTGCAAAATATCTTTGGTTGTACACCTGTGCAATAGCAATAAAGTATCTTGAATTTGAAATTATCTTCCTGTTAAATGTATTTCCTGAATGAGTGACCTTTTCAGGCTAAAATAACAAAATGACAAATACAGACAGAAGGACGACTTATTTCTTCTTTTATAATGCGTTGCATCACCACCTGGTATAAGAACAGGACTCAGTATTGGAAGATGATCAAAAATCAAACAACTTGGATTCGGATCAGGGGCAGAAATGTGGTTGTAACACCTCTAGGTATAAGTCAGCTTTATAAACTAAAACTATTATTTATGAACTACATTAACACTAATGACACTGATTGATATATTTTTATTATGTTGTTTGAACCCAAGGGTCTCATTCTCTGAACTTTCTAACTTGTTGCATTGCTCCATAAGTGCCCCTTTTTTTTTTACTTTGAGCCCCCGTCCCGTCAGAGGTCTCTGCATGGCCCTGGTAACGATTCTCAGTTCAATAACACATAATTTCCTCTAATCATTGAAACCGTCTCTCTGTGAGTGAGTTAAGCCTGACTACAATAGTTTGTCAGATGTATTTGGGCATCCTATATTTATATCTGAATATTCACTGAAAGGTTAAGGAGACACATTGTAGAAAACCATATGAGCACGTGTGCACAGCAGAAAATATGTTATTGTTTACATGTTGTCCTTCAGCAGCTGACAACTGGAAATTTTTTTTACAAGGTTGAGTAAAAAGTCTGAATCAGACAAGTTTTTAAAATGTTGTTTTCTCTCCCTGCAACAGTTTCAATGGCAACCCATCCAGACTGACCGTGTATCTGGGTCTTCAGACTATTCAGGGGTCCAACCCAAATTCTGTGTCTCGAACAGTAGCACGGATTATTGTTCATGCAAGCTACAACTCTGAGACGAGCGACAACGACATCGCCCTCCTGCAGCTCTCCTCAGCTGTGACTTTCACCTCCTACATTAAACCAGTCTGCCTGGCTGCAGCAGGCAGCACCTTCTACAGCAACGTCAGCTCCTGGGTCACCGGCTGGGGCAACACCGCAAGTGGAGGTGGGATATGAAGTTACTCAGACTTCAGTAACTGAAATAAACATTTCTTGATAATTACAGAGAAAACAACATATTCTGAAAATCGTTTAGTACAGATAAAAATATGATTTAGGACTTAACATTACCTTTTTATTGCAGTTTAAAGGTGTGGAACACTGAAAACCAAATTTTAATGATTATAATCAGTCACCGAGTTTTTCATGCAGGCTGAAAATATAGTCTCCTACACCGATCTCCTGCATTAGCTTCTGTTAGAAAATAAGCATTGAAACTCTAGGATTTGAAAATCCTGACAGATCTACATCACACTGTCACTAAATATTCATGGTCTCAGTTCAATTCAATTCAAAAATACTTTATTAATCCCAGAGGGAAATTGATTGCTGTAGTAGCTCAGAATAATAATAATAATCAAGTCATCAAAGAGTTATTGTATATTACAATGGCTGTTGGCAGGAAGGATCTCCAGTAGCGGTCAGTGTTGCAGCCAAACTGAAGAAGCCTCTGACTGAAGACACTCTTCCGTTGTTGGGACAGTCTTGTGAAGAGAATGCTCAGGGTTGTCCATCATTTTCTTGATTCTCTGGAGAATCCTTCTTTGCATTTATCTCCTCCAGTGGTTCCACAGTTGTCCCCAGAACAGAACCAGCCTTTTTTATTAGGCTGTTGAGCCTTTTCAGGTCCCTGCTTCTGATGCTGCTACCCCAACAGACAATGGCTGAAGAGATTACACTCTCAACCAGGCGCGCAGATAGGGTGAGGGATGGGGGGCATCTGTCCCACCCAGATTCAGATCGACCCCGATTCGCCCCCCCCCCCCCCCCCAACTAAGGCCAGAAAGAAAACAAAATCAGAGGTTTAGCGCTTGATACTCCTTTTTCCAATTACATTGAATGCAGCATGACATAAACAAACACGACCCCAGAGGCGCCAAAGTGGTTGCTGCTAGGATGCAGGATGAAGTGAAAAAGACAAGCAACGATTACTGCGTATTTAAAAAAGACCAACAGTGTAAGTAGGCGGGACCGATCTGTCTGTTTATGCATGTTGGTTCTAGTTTCAGTACGTTGTTGTCAGTGTTGGGACTTACTCGTTAAAAGCGTCAAAGCCTCATTGCTGACTTCAGCAAGTCTCATCTACAAACATGATCCCTCATGAAGTTACTACTTTATACCAGAAGATAGTGGAGATGTGGAACCTTCAGGCTGAGCAAAATTTGGGAGTCTTTAGAGTGTGAAAATCGCCTCCCGCCGACAGGCTCCCAGTCGGGGAGAGGAGGAGATGTGTGCAGCATGAAGAGCGTAAATATTAGATAAAACGTATAATTGCCGGCAGGTCTGATATTTGTTGACTGATCACTTTGTCTGGTCTTGACTGACTCTGATTATGAAGCAGATTATTGACTCTGATGAAGAAATTCACTCATCCAGCCGGGACGATTGACGCTGCTGCAGCTTCAGACAGCTGGTGCTGCACGAGAGGTGTGTGGAGTTTACGAGCTCCAAACGTTGGGTTTGATGTTGTTTAACCTTCTCTGGGACGTGATGGATGTAGAAACGATGGAAAAACACCGCTAACGTGACAGACGTAGCGACAATGTAAAAAAAGCCGTAAAAAAGAGGCAGATGCCGATGCATTAAGTATGGAAGTCAAGTGTGCCACATAATCATAAAAAAGGTCAAATATAACATTTAAAAAGAGTTTTATATATTTATATATAAATTAAAACTTTCAAAATATGATGAAAATGTATAAATAACGTAAAAATACGAAGGAACATCTGTTGGTCAGGCTGAAATGTTTGGGAACTACTGCTCTAAGTGATAAGTGAATATTGTTTCTTATATTTTATGTGCAGTTTTTTAGGGTTTTTATGTTTTCTGTAAAGATCGGTAAGCTGAAAATCATTTAATGTTTTGCATAAAGCATGAGGTTTTGGTTAGTGCTTGAATGGAAGAATAACAAATGACTGAATTAAATAGTGGGGCCCCTCTGTCAGTACGCCCCAGGGCAGCTGTGGCTACATCGTAGCTCATCACCATCAGTGTGTGAATGTGTGTGTGAATGGATGAATGATGCACTGTAGTGTAAAGCGCTTTGGAGTCCTTACTCTGAGAGGTGCTATACAAGAGTGGATTATTCATTTATAGTGCTGATCAGGCAGAGCTTTGTTGCATAATGGCTTCAAACACGTATATAATGGTTAGTTTTTATATAAACCGTTGGATGAAATTACACAAACTGACTGAGCTCCAGTTAAGGTGCTTGCAATTGTGTGTGTGTGTGTGTGTGTGTGTGTGTGTGTGTGTGTGTGTGTGTGTGTGTGTGTGTGTGTGTGTGTGTGTGTGTGTGTGTGTGTGTGTGTGTGTGTGTGTGTGTGTGTGTGTGTGTGTGTGTGTGTGTGTGTGTGTGTGTGGTACATTGGAACTTTGTCCCCCCCAGTTTGAAAATCCTATCTGCGCCCCTGCTCTCAACAACAGACTTGTAATCTCTTCAGCCATCGTCTCACCCATCTTGACTCAGGACGGGGAAGTCTGTTGTTGGTTTAACGTCTCAATTAGTAGAAGATAACTGTTAGCATTAGCAACTCCACAACAAGGCAGAACTTCAATTCAGAATAAATTTCAAAGTATTTCTAATATAAATGACTGACTGGTATGGGGCCAGAGTACATGTTGGATCTCATTCCTGTATGTACACCCAGCAGGGCTCTGAGATCCTCAGGAAACAGTCACCTGGTAGAACCCCAGGCTGGTAGAACCCTGCTTTTAGCCACTATATGCTGTACACACATGGAATCAGCGTCCTTATGTCCTCAAACGTGCCCTAAATCTAGTAACTTTTAAATAAAAATTGAAAACCTTCATGTATTCAGTTTACAAGTCAGTGGTAGTCGTGTTACGGTTATCCAATCTGAGGCAAGATGTCCGAATATCAGGGAATTAGACTGCAAACATGCCGCTTTAAGCTCAGCTGTTCTTTTCTGCCAGAGACCACTGCAAATGTATTGATTAAACGAGTGATCAACACCTTTAAATGTAATAATTTAATTATTTATCAGAGGATTACATTTTAGATGAGTGATGATATCAGACTACACTGGTTCTGTCTCTCTAAAAATGAAAGTCAAGGATGTTTTCTAGTTGCCATCTCTCTTTCACAAAACACTTGTAACTCACAATAATGAACAGGTGTGGTTCTGGATTTACTTGACTAAATCTTATCATTTATGAATGGCAAAGGTTTAGCTGAGGGTTAATCTGCTGTGTCTGCTTGTCTCATGAAGAGATGTGGACTGAGAGACGCGGGTGTTTAGTAATCATGGTGGATGTACAAGCTGCTGGTGGATCCCACGTAAACTAATGAACCAATGACAGCAACTTTAACATTTTCAATGATGTTGGTTTTTGCCACCTCGGCAGCTCCATTGGAAGCCTCTGGTCACAAATTTTATAAGATGTTCTCTCTTTGTCTCTTTAGTGTCTCTTCCCTCTCCTGGAAACCTGATGGAGGTGCAGATCCCAGTTGTAGGAAACCGCCAGTGTAATTGTAATTATGGAGTGGGCAGCATCACCGATAACATGATGTGTGCTGGTTTAGCTGCAGGAGGGAAGGACTCCTGTCAGGTGATCATCTTAATCTGTCTTCATCAGAGCTGAGGTCCCTGTAACGATTTCTACTCTGAGCAAAATATCTCTGGTCTTAAAGGGAGATTCAGGAGGTCCGATGGTGAGCAAGCAGGGAGGCGTCTGGGTTCAGGAGGGAATTGTGAGTTATGGGTTCGGTTGTGCCCAGCCAAATTACCCAGGAGTCTACACCAGAGTGTCCCAGTACCAGACCTGGATCAACAGCCAGATCACCAGCAACCAGCCGGGCTTCGTCACCTACACGTCCACCGGGACCGACGGTGACCTCAGTGTCTCCTGCACAGGCCTGCCACCGATTACCACCACGGCACCACGTAATTCTACCACCACCCCTTCAATGCTGTCCATACCCCAAACCTCCTCATGCTAACAATACAACCTGGATTAGAATACAGAATGTCTTTGAACAGATGTTGGAAATGGTTTATGGTCCTTTTGTTAATTTTGCAGCCGTGTTCTGTGGACAAGCCCCGCTAAACTCTGGTAGTTTGGGTGGAAGTTCTGTGACGACAGATGGTTTGTGGCCCTGGATGGCGAGTCTGCAGAAGAATGGACAGCATGTGTGTGGCGGGACACTGGTGTCCTTGGACTTTGTCCTCAGCGACGCTGACTGTTTCTCAAAGTGAGTTTTAGTGGAGGCAATTCAATTTAACTATATTTATATAGCGCCAAATCACGACAAGAGTCGTCTCAAGGCACTTTACATAATAAACATTCCAATCCAGGTCAGTTCATTAAGCCAATCAGAAATAATGTTTCCTATATAAGGAACCCAGCAGGTTGCATCGAGTCCCTGACTAGTGTCAGTGACTATACAGCAATCCTCATACTAAGCAAGCATTTAGTGACAGTGGAGAGGAAAACTCCCTTTTAACAGGAAGAAACCTCCAGAGAATCCTGGCTCAGTATAAGCAGCCATCCTCCACGACTCACTGGGGATCGAGAATACAGCAGACACACACACACACACACACGCACACGCACACACAAAGACAAGTAATGTGTCTATAGTTATATTGTGATGTCTTAGAAAATATTCTATTTGGTGAGAGATAAATTTTATTGTATTTATCCTAGTGGATCTATAATTAAACGGATAAACTAGTAGTAGCACATCCAACGTCAAGGAAAGCAAAAAGTTATCAGGAGAGGGAGAATGTTTTAGTGGTTAGCAGCAGTGTGCTAGACGATGGCCCCCTCCATGAGGCCACCACAGCTCAGCTGAACATCGTTGTAGCTTCTTCTGGGGAGAAAAACACTTAGAGAGAAAATAAAGTTAACAGCTTAAATAGCTGATGAGTGTTTGGTCAGTTTGATCTGAGGAGAGGAAAATGTAAGACGAAGTACTTACAGGTGCTAGGTGGGTGTCTTAGCCCTGCTTGACCCCCTGAAGATATGAGAGTTGGAATTATATTGATCAGTGTTAAACTGTGAAAACCTAACCACAAAAATCTAAACAGTTCTAATTCTGCTAACCCCCCCCCCCCCCCCCCCCCCCCACTAGATCTATTCTTCGTTTGAATTAACATTCTCACACCTAAAGCTGTGAAAACTGGCGAAGTGTGACCCATCGTCAGCTTTCGACGCTTCGGGTGTGAGAATGTTTTGGAATTAAATACGATATCGAAAGATCTTTTGAGCCCTAATTGAGCTGCCATTTCTTCCTCAGGCCCCCTAATGCATCTCAGTGGACGGTTGTGTTGGGTCGTCGGAAGCAGAATGGATCAAACGCCAATGAAGCATCTTTTAAAGTGTCGAATATAAGTCTGAGCAACATTGCAGGGTCTAACATCGCTTTGCTGAAGCTGTCGACCCGACCCACCCTAAGTAACTACATCCAGCCCATCTGTGTCGTGACGCCAGGACAGACCTTCTCAGAGGGAACAACATGCTGGGCAGCTGGCTGGAGCTCTGGACAAGGAGGAGGTCCTAAACAATGACTTACTAAACATAAAGAACAATGCAATAACTTCAGTTATAAACAATATAATTATTTCTAACTGTAGCTGAAGAGGTTCTCCAGCAATTGCAGACATCTGTGGTAAATTGTGGGAATGCATCTACGAGCTACAGCATTTGCACAGGACAGTTTACAATATACCAGGTATGCGATAAGACTATTATCCAAATGCTCTAAAGATTTGCACAAGAACTGTAACCAATCATAGAAGGAAATGTAAATAGTCCCATGGAAGTTGGGTAGAGGAGCTACGAAAGCAGAATTAATCCAAGGAAGGTGGAGACTAGCCTGGCCGGTCAGACTCGTCTTGCTTAACTCTACACAGAGAACTAAGGAAGCATGGGGCTAGCTGGTCAGGCTAGGTGGAGACATGCATGGTTTCGGAACAAGAGAATGCAACGCTGGAAAGCTGGTCAGAAACAGACAATATGGCACTTGAGCTGAGTGGAGCCTCATGTGTGGCTGATGCGGGTTTGCCCCTTGGCACTAGAGGCCTTTGCTGCTCGTCTTTGAAACAGTGATGTTTCAGTCATTCCGAAATATTGCAGCTCTTTATAAATCTTTACAGAAATCTTCAAGAGTTCTGTACTTTATTGGACTGGTTTGAAGGTTTGCCTGAAACGAGATATGATGAAACATTGTCAGTGCAGTCCTACTTTTCTCCTGATTATTATAATTGATGGAGTATTTCTGTCTGTTTTTAGGGGTATTCAGGCGGTCCGCTCATGTGTCAGCAGGGCGGCTCCTGGTACCAGGCTGCTGTGTTAACAAACAGCACCAACTCCACCAATACAAAAGCAACTAGCACTCCCATGGTCTTTCAGCAATTGACTGCCTTTGACTCATTTCTGAGGAGCACCTTGGGGACATTCTTGTCTCCAGCAACCACCACCGCCACCCCTGCCGCCTCCACCGCTTACACTCACTGCCCCTTCTTTGTTGGACTTCATCTCCTTATTCTCGCCTTGTCTGTCCAAATCTTCTCATAAACATCTTTAAAGATCTGATTGCTGATTATATATTGTGGAAAACTTTTAGTTAATTTCTTTCCCTTGTCTTTCCAACAAGCCTTATCCTTTTCGGTAATGTTGATCAGAGGTTCTTCAGGCTTTCTGAAAGTCCCTTTAAAGTTATTCTTTAGCATCTGGGTGCCTTATGAGTAATCAATGGCATTAACATTATGAATCGATTCTATTACAATATTATGTTATCAGTTGGGTTTAAATAAATATACTTTTATATAAATAGACTTCTCAGAGATGATTCTGATAAATCAGGCCTCAGCTTTCTCTGCTACCTGAAACCAGATGTTGCAATCAAAAGCTGTACTGTAATTATTTTGTGTCTTTGTGAGTCTATGGGTGAATCACTGAATTATTTAACGACTTCTTCTGTTGCACTTTAATGCCACAAAAAGCTTGACGTATGTTCGTGTTTACGTTAACCCCAGGAAAATGTAGGAATGCAAACATGTTTTAATATCTGTGTGTAAATGTTCTCTAATAAATGAAACATGTTTGCTGAAACATAGAAACAGAGTTGTGTATTTAAAGTGGAGCCCAGGATCATCCATCTACCTTGTTTACAGCCTCAAGCTCTCCCCTAAGGTTTAATGCGTGAACTTTGACCCTTAGTCACCATACGATAAAGAAAACCTTACCAAGTCAAGTGGCTGACATCCCAACCCTACTTCTATTCGAGTCAGTATTCAAGGACTCTGATTTTATGGGTTTTTGTCCCTCTCCTGACCTCTGACCTTTCTCTGCCTGTTGGATATTTGAACCCGAAAACCCTGGATTCTCGATCATACTTGCCCTGCTTTTGTACAGTGTAAGAGATCTAAACAACTGTTTCTATTTCATCGTTGCTGCCCATCTGAGTCTCATGGTTTCTGAATCTGGAGCTGCCATGTTCCTCTTAAAAAACTGTTAAATGCTTCATTCCATGTGTTGCCAGCGTTCTTGGGTCCAAAGTCTCTCACCCGTTCCAGCCGTGGTTCTAAACCAGTAAAAGATGTAGTGAGCAAGTCTTTGCATCAAGAGCACTTCAAGTAACTTGGTGTCTTGTTGACTTACGGAGAGGAAGATGAGTAAGCAGACTATTGAGACATCTTAAATTAGGTTGCTGACCTGATCTGTGGTGCATGAAGAAGCTTTGTCCATGTTCAGTGATCAGATCTGAATCCTGACTGAAAGGATGAATCTTATTGGAGGCTGAGATGATCTTCCTCCAGGTGGCTGGGAGAAGTTCCCCTATCCAGGGGGAGCTCAGCCCCATCAAAAGGAGTCGGGGCTCTGACATGACCCAGTGGGTGGCGCATCCTCCCCCCCCCAAAAAAAAACTATGTCCATGATACAAATACAGGCCATTTACCATTTAATACAACATTCTGACTTCAGCATTACTTTTTGTTGCTCAGTAACCCCACAAAAATCCATTTTAATGTACTCTTTAAATATGCACACGCGTCACAGAGTCAGAGACGTGATGTTCTTCAGCTAGCAGACTTTCCTGTTTGACTCTTCAGAGATTAAAATAGAACATTTCCAGAACAAAAAGAAGATTACAGATGAAAGAGGGAAACTGTCCTGTTGTGAAATACTACATATCTGATGTTAGAGCTGGAGCATGTGTGTAGCCTGACGAGTTTTGGTCTCGTCAGCGATCTAGAAATGACTGACAGCTGGTCCTAATGAGAACTGTTGGGTTTTCCCTTGGAGGAATGGTAACATGAACAAATAGTTGTAAAATATGTTTGCTTGTTAAAAATTTTGTGTGAAAGCTCAAAAAAAATATTTCTTACTGAGTAAATCTGTAATAAATATCCTTCATGTAGATCTGAGCCGCTTATTCATCAGAAATGTTTGACAATGTTTCATATTCCTCATTGTGTGGTTTCATTGGTGAGTTAGTTTGTCACTGACACATCACTTCAGTACAAAGCACAATCAGCAGTTTCGACTGAAAAAGTTAAATGCACCTCAGATGAGAAGCCAAACATCATCAAGAAACCACAGAAGTCCACTTGCCTTCATCTGTGCCTGAGGTCGTCCATTTCCTCTGTAGGTTCCTAACTGTGGAAACAGACAGCTTTCTGTATCCTTCCCCTGAACCATGATTGTGAACAATCTATGTTTTCATGTCATTTGAAAGTTGAGACCCCATGTTGGTACTCTTCAGAAAATAATCAAAGAGGAGGGACACTTGCAATTGGCCCTCTTAAATACTGTTTCTCTTAACTAGATTCACCTGTGGTTGGAGGTCAAGGGTCACTGAGAATACCAAACCAATTTGAGTTCCAAAATTTTGTTCTAAAGGTTTTGGAATCAATAAAATGACAAAATTACCTACCGTAATTTAGTTGAAACAATTATTGCACACTTTCTGAATAAACTTTATTTCACTTCACAAATATCACTGTGTGTGTTTCCTTAATGATTTATTTAACCAAAAATTATTAGCGTAACAACTGATTTATACAGGAAAATCATGAAGAATGACAATGCTGCCCAAACTTTTGCATCCCACTGTTTTTCACTTTATAAAAGAGAAAAAACAATCCATAACTGCAAACTTGAACAAAATGACAGATAGTTTAAGATTAAGATGAAACCAGACTTTTGTTAACTCTGATCCTTAATGAACTTTTTCTTAAATGGAAATGAATTTTTGTTGGTTGGTTTAGTTAATTAAATTGACAGTAATGTGATCAAGTACCAAAAAAATTCAACAAACACATTATTCTTATATAGCATTTTAATCAGTTGTATGACGCCCCCTGCTGGTGTTCTATCAGAACATTTAGTCAGTTTCTCCGCCCACAACCATCCAGTTTCCCAAAAATGAATGCATTGTGTTAATTTTAGGACAGTTTTGATGTTGCTGGAAGAAAACTAACTTCCATAGCTTTCTACAGCTTCTCATGAGAGGGAATTTCAATCATCCACACAGGAACAATCTGTCTAAAATGCAAGTTTTCAGTGAGATTTGTGCTAAAACACTGGAGGACATAGTTAAGACCTTAAATTGTCTAACTGCTGTTTGGACAACCTGGCAACCAACTTCTTTAAAGGGATACTTAGCAAATTTTTCACATTTTTAAATCATTTTCTTGAGCCAGTATATGCTAAAAGCACCCTTTAATGAATGGTCATCCAGCCCCTATTGCCCCCTGTGGTCAGAATATTCCATTTGCAACTTCACAGTTGCCAGTCTGTTGGAGCTTAAATACCTGGCACTGCAATCTGGGTCCAGCACGTTTCCGGCATGTTTGAGGTCATGAACACATCTGATTTGTTTAATTTAGTGCTGAATCACTCCTGTGGGCACCAATGAAGGCTGGGAGACGTCTCAGCTGTTAGATTAAGGCGTTAAAAAGACAAACGCATAGCGATGAGGTAAGTTTTGGCTCTACAAACGGACACTAGAGGGCGCTAAAAGCAAGCCAAAACTGCCTGGTCTCCCTTTAAACATGTTTTTAGTGAACGCTGATGTACTGAAAATTTTTAAGTGCTCCCTAATGTCAGGTAATTTTCCAAAATCATTGAAAAATGCTGCTAAGTCTCTTCTAAAGAAAGATCCCTTAGTGAAGAATAATTACAGACCAATTTCTAACCTCCTTTTCATTGGGAATTGAAAAAGCAGTAATGATCCAGGTGAGCAACTTTTCAGAGACAAACAACCTCCTAGACAATTTTCAGTCAGGCTTTAGACAACACCACAGCACTGATTAAGGTATTTAATGATATTTGTCTAAATACATATTCAAGCAAAACATCATGCTCTTCAGAGAGCATCTTCTAAACTAGCACCCTCCCTGCACCCGTCCCCCCCCCCCCCCCCTCTACTGTCCACTCCTTGTTCCATACTCTCCATGATTGATGTCAAGTTGTTGTTGTAAATGTTGTTGTTGTTAGCCTCAAGGGCAACATGCCGATCATCACTTGTAAGTCGCTTTGGACAAAAGCGTCTGCTAAATACATAAACATACACATCTATCCTGATTATGCTAAATCTCAGTGGATCTTTTGATACTGTGGACCACAACATCCTTCTTGATAGGATCATAAACTGGGCGGGACTATCAGGCACAGTCCGTAGTTGGTTCCGATCATATCTCGAAGACAGGGGTTTTGTTGTTTCTATTGGTGATCACAAATCAAAGCAGATCACCATGATGTGGTGTTGCCCAAGGTTCGATTCTTGGACCTCTGCTCTTCAATCGCTACATGCTTCCATTGGGTCAGGTCATATCCAATAACAACATTGCCCATCATACTTAAGTAGTCAACACCCAGATGTAAGGGTTTAATTTACATCTATTTAATGAACCATAAAATGTGAGATTCCATAGGAAATATGAAATCAATCTTATGGACCTTTGGCTAATTTTAACCAGAAGATCAGAACTTTTTATTGCAGGGATTATGTAACTACTTTGCATTAACTGAGAGACAAGAGAAGAGAGAGTCACCTTTAAAAAGTTTAAGAAGATTTATTTCTAAACAATTTTAAACAAGACTAACTCTAAACTCTAAACTCTGGGTGATGAATGGATCTTGGTGTGAATGAGACGTGAGATGGATGGTGTATGTGTGAGTGATGATGTCATCAGAACTCTCGTATCCGGAGAAGTAAGTCTGAGTGGGAAGTGATGTTTTGCTCTTAAGCTATGATCGGAGTTTCATAAACACATGAGACGCCATCTTGTCACTCCACACATACCCTTCAGGATGAGACCTCCGTACAGATCCAGAATGCCAGGTCCTCGGACCCCCCTTTCGGTACCGGAGCCGAAGAAACAGCGTCAGCAGTACGACAGACTAGTCTTTGGATTGTCTCCAGGTAAAAAGCGACGCTTGATTGACAGCGTCAGATGGACCCGGAGGGTCAGTGAGTTCAGCTTTTATTCTGAAAGGAACCTCTGCTTGGTTGGTAAAGTGCAACAGATTTTATCCAGCTTGTCGGTTCTTTGCTTAAAAAGGAAGTCCGGGTGGCCGGTCCGATACTTCTCTTAGAATGCGGTGAACTGAACTAAGATGGCGTGGGGACTGGTTTTATTTATCTGGATGTTTTGATTTACGGTCGAATCAGTTTGACAGATTTATAAACACCACAGAGACTATGCCACGCTTCAGAAAGGAAGGTTCCGATTGGATGAGAAAGATCAAATGTGTCATGTGACTTTAAGCATTACGTGGATCAGGATGTCTAGTGGAAACATTTAATTATATTACTTATTATATTCTGTAGGATTATAATATCAAGTAATTAATATTTTCATTTCACAAATTGGTTCCCATTTTATTATTGACTAACACTTTGTTTGATTAGCTTTATTAAAAATAGAGTTCTTTGATTTATTAAAAGAAAGAGTCCTTTGTCTTCATTCTTCTCTTGGGCTGGAAAATCAGAAACAGTTTAGAAGCAGAGCATGAGACCTTGAGCAGTATCTCATGCAGATTAGTTCTTGCTGAGGAGAGGGGGGAAATGACTTTTAGGTGGAAAACAGTCATTTCATTCCGTTACACAGATCTACCAAGCTCTATCGCCTAGTGACTGTGGTCCCCTAGACTCACTGTCAGTGTTTGGAGCAAGTTAATGACTGGATGCAGTCAAACGTCCTCCAGTTAAACAAAGACAAGTTATTGTCGTTGGAAATAAGAAGGATAGGATTGCTCAACTTGGTTCCCGAGGAACAGAGACAAAGACCCAGGTTAGAAATCTTGGGGTCATAATTGATTCAGACCTGAGCTAGCACGACTCAGGGGTCTCGTGTCCAGACAAGATCTAGAGACTCATTCATGCGTTGGCTGGACTATTGCAATGGTCTTTGTCTGGTCTTCCAAAATAGCTGTGAAGCAACTGCAGTTTATTCAGAATGCTGCCGCTAGAACTAAGAGAACAGCGCACATCACTCCTGTTCTTAAATCTCTGCACTGGGTACCAGTAAACTACCGAATCAATTTCAAAGTACTTCTACTAGTTCAGCCCTTAACTTTGCCTTTTTATTTAATTTCTTACATCCAATTTTATTTTGAAATCGTCTGTTTTATAATGTCACGTTGATTTGAATGCTTTATGTTCTTGCTCATGGAAAGCACATTCAATTGTTTCTGTGTATGAACATGTGCTATATAAATAAACCTGCCTTGCCTCATTAAGTGAAGACCAGATTAATGCTGAACAGGTTGGAGTCTTGCATGAGGAATATATCAGTGCAGGTATGAGGTCTCCATGGAGTGCAGAGAGCACAATGACATTTACTTTGTAAATACAACACGCAACATTTTCTCTGAGTCATCCCAATAGACTGTGTTCCAATTATGGAAAATTTTATCTTGCAAAGTTTAAAAACGTCCTGGTAAATTACCATGTGTGTGACTTGTGTACAGCAAGACGATCCCAGTTGTGAGACAACAGGTTTACTGTTTAGTTAATGGAGCTTTTGTTAAGAGCCTGATGCAGTTTGGCCAGCTCTATTTTAGGCTGTGAGTCACTTTGGAATAAACTAAGAAGCAATGCAGAGTCAGCACTAAAACCCAAGTGCAGGTCTGAGAACAGGTCTATCCATTTTGATTCATTGACTAAACACAAGAAAAAATGAGTTAAGCTGTCTGCTTCAGGAAATCTTAAGACTAGATAGTTTAGATTCCACTCATGTCTGTTAATCTGTGAAAAATCTGTTTTTCATCTTCTTTACAAAGTAAAAACCTTCTAAAATCTTAAATGTCTTTCATATCAAATCAAAAGATTATAGCACTTTAAATGCAACAATGTTGCCCAAAGTGCTTAACACAAAACATTTAAAATACAAACAACTGAAACTCATGAGAAAACAAATCCGTAAAAATGAGCTTAAACAGGTTTGTTTACGTATAAATCACACTTTCCGTGTCTTAAATTTTCCCTACATTACCTGTAAAGAATTTATTTCCCCTTTTTTGAATTCATTATTTAGTTAATTAGTAACACCTTTGCTGCTTCCCACTCTTGTTTACAGCAATCAAACCAGTTTTCAGAAACATTTATTTCCTTGTGGTAAGCTGTTGGCAAAAAAGAACCTTAGAGAAACACAATCTATTGTATCATGTGACAAAAATGTTTCATTAGGGAAAATAATCCCAGTCTTAACTAACCTCAACCACTAAGTTCTCATTTCTGCTTTCTTTCAATGGAAATAATGTGACTATTCTGTGACTTTAGTTTGTTTACCAAAATATTTGATATGAACAATATATGTATATGTCATGGTCTGCGTCTCCCTCATGCGTCTCTTGTGTGCTCCATCCCCCTCTAAGGATCCCCTTATGTGTCTCTTTGTGTTCCTCATGTGTCCCCTGCTCTGCAGTCCTCCAGATATTCCCTCCCAGGTCCTGTGTTCCTTCGGTCACCCCTCTGCAGTTGTTCTATAGGTTCAGCTTCTCATTTTATTAGTCTCTTTAGTGTGTTTTCCCACCGGTTTTTGTAGTTTTCCTTCCCCCTTGGAATATGTTTGCTGCTCTTCTTGTCTTTAGGTTTTTACTCTTAGGTCATGTTAGTTTCCTCCCTGATTAGTTAATTGCTTTCACTTGGTTTCTCTCCGCACACACCTGCAGCCCATCTGCCTCTCATCATGCCCCAGTGTATATAACCCTGTCTGCGTCTCTGACTGTTGTTGGGTCATTGTCTTGTGTCACCCTCGTCTCGGTCCCCTCTCTAGATTTTGAGCTTCGTTTTTGGAAATTCTAGGTTTTGTTATTTGGGACTTTTGATCTTTGTTTTTGGCTCCCTGCCTTTTTGGATTTATTCTTAATAAAGGGATTTTATGTTTATTGCTCTATTCAGTGTCATCTGGTTCTCTGCATCTTTGGGTCCTAACCTCCTCTTGGCTCCCCATCGTGACAGTATATTTATGTGGGCTGCCCCCTGTGACCCCACTTTGAACCACTTCTGTGGCGCCATCATGTGCTCTACATTTCACTGCGTTACCACGGCCCGCACGTGTGAACTTCCCGCTGTTTACCATTGAATTAAAAATAATAATAATAGATTAGATTTATATATCGCTTTTCAAGGCAGCCAAAGTGCTTCCCATTGTTCATGCACTCACACATTTATACACTGATGGTGATGGTTAACTACAAAGTAACCATGGCTGCCTAGGGGCAATGGTCCAATTTTGTACCATCATCCATCTGACCACCAAGTTAGGTGAAGTGTCTTGCCTAAGGACACAACAGCACCCTGTAAGGAGCTGGGATTGATCCACCCTCCAATTTCTGAACAACCCGCTCTACCTCCTGCACTACTGATGCCCCACTACACACCTGTGAGGTACCCACAGAAATAAACAGTTAATGCGCAAGAGCAAATATCCATTGGGCTGGAACTCTGTGGTGAGTGTGGGTTCTCCTCCTTGCCCACAGTCACCCCAGACACAGCCCACTAAAGTCCATGGTGGGCATGTTTGCTGGGTTTTAATGAACTGGATGTAATGTGGGTCTAGTATGTGGGGAAAAACTATTAGGGGTCTCCAGCAAAATGTAAAAGTAATAAATAGGTTATTTCCTGTAAAACAGTAGCTGTCTCATGGCGGTGAAATCAAATGTCAGGAATGTTGCTGGGTCAGATTTACTTACCCTGCCTGTATGATTCTTCTGACTGATCATTCAACAGACTGATTCAGCTGTTTACGGTCCCCTCAGACCTTCATTTAATATCTTAAATAATCATGAAAGCATCAAATTAAAAGCATCATTCATAATTTAAAGTTTGCTTCAGTGTTCAAATATTCATTAGGTGTTGACGTTATTGACTGACCTGACTGATTATGTATTTTTCATTCTAAAACTGCTTATAAAAGAAGTTGAAGGACCAGAAAAAGAATAAATAACAAAAGAAAACAGACTAAAGTTTTTAAGAAAAGAAAAATGAACCAGACATATTCAGAAAGTCTGGTTTAGAAATGATTTCTCAATATGTTCTGTGTCTTTTCACTTTGAGTTTCCTCTAACATTGTTTATGGTAAAACATTCTTAATGGATGAGTGAAGAACAGTGTTGGGCAAGTTACTTCCAAACTGTAATGCATTATTTATTACTTGTTACCCTCATTTTAAAGTAATTCATTACATTACAATATTACCGATTTTAAAATGTAAGGCATTACACTACTTTTGCATTACTTTAAGTTACTTTCATCGATACAAATTCAGTATGAATCTGGTCATGTGACGCTCAGTGAGCTCATGACATACATGTGGAAGGTGATGTGGTGTCTGAGCTAGGATTGCTGTTAAAAACAGTCAGATATAATAACAGTGCTTTAAAATGATTGTTTATTAAATAAAAGCAACAACAATCTGTACTCTCAGCATGCTGACATCTTATATTAACTGAGCAGGGAGTGAGGTGGTGGAGGCTCCAAGCCTATATTTGCCTTGGTCCCCAAATGCCTTGATACGGCCCTGGATGTGGGACTGACTTCTGGGGTGATCTGATTCTATCACATGTATAAATATTAAAGGCTTATATATAATTGCTTTTCACTGGTCACTGTTTTGTTTTCTTGATTTTATTTGAATAATTTCCTGCTCTTTCTCTCTCAAACCTTCCTGCATGCTGCATGTTTTCTCCGTCTTCCAGAAAAACTGTAAACTAGATTTTCTACTTTCTAACTAATCAGCCAAAGGGATCTACCCAACGCAAAAAAAAAGCTTCATATGCCCTGCGCTCCAGCAGCAATGAGTTGAAATCACCGGGGCACAGATTATGAACTCAGCTGAAAAGTACATGAAGTACCAGAGAATATGGGCTGATATAAACGATCGCAAACGAATGACTTTGTTTTGGTGGAGCGATTTTGTGAATGCAACAGCGGCCGCGCGCTGGACGAGTATTTGAGCCATCACCGCTGCGTCCTCTCTGCTCATAGAACGCCCGCAAAGCTAAGTCCATAAATGACGTCATATATGTGGATACTGGATCTTTTTTCAGGCTTCCCGCAATTTGAATTTTTAGGAAACCCCCATCTTGATTCTGGGTTTAAAAATGCATTGTAATTACCGTGTTACTGACAATTGTACCAAGTAAATATTACCATTTTCTTTCCCTGTAATGCCTTACATTACCACATTACAGCAAAAAGCAATGCAGTACAGTAATTAATTACTTTTGTACCACGTTACTCCCAACACTGGTGAAGAATGGTGGTGCAGTGTAACCCACTCCAAGGGAGACATAGACGGCTGACTTTGAGAAAGCTTTAGATTAGTTTTTCTACATATCTAAAAACACAATGTTTATGAGAAGGCTTTCTAGACCAAACCGTAAAGAAAATAGTTTTATTTCTATATGTGAAATCCCAAAGATGGGTAAAATAAAAAGAGAACAGATTTGTGGAACACAAAATCTGAACTGATCTTATTACAGATGAAGAGTTGGGTGTGTCACTGAACAGGTGTCACAGAGGGAGGAGTGTTTTTAAAAGGGAGGGCTAAAGACGCTTATTTAGGTTGAAGCAGTTCAGGAAGAGCGGACTCAGTTATGGCTTTCTACAAAGTGATGTGTGTGGCGACGCTGCTGACTCTCCTAACTAAAGGTAAGAATCACTGCGAACACCTGGATCAGCCGGTTTGTTAAAAAGAAAGTAAAAAACAAAAACCTGTGGCTAAACTAGTATGATTTCCATCTTTGATCTTTTTAGCCCCACATGTAAATCCTACAAAAAATAAACCAAACACTGTGACTTCTACGAAACACCTGTACAGAAAATATAACTGACCTTTCTTGTGATCGCGTGTATTTTTCAGCTGGTGTTTGGAAAGAACAACTTGGACTTTCTGCATGAAAACTTTCAGCTTTGTGTTAAACAGATTCAGGGTTAGAGTTGTAACATTAGCATGAACGGATCATCAGTGAGATTCTGAGAAGTAGGGCTTGTTGAGTTGATCTATTTTTGACATTTTAGAGCTTGTGAATAAATGTGTTATTTTTTGTTTCTGGGAAACTAACAAACATTGAGCAGTTTTAATGAAACATTAAGAATAAACACGTTTTGGTACAGATCTAATTTGGTTTTAAAAAGTGTCTTAACTTGTATCTGCAGCTGCAGCTTCTGAACAGTCTTTAATTTTTCCTCATATTCATTAACTCTGTGAAAAGTCATCCGATCTGAATTTGAAGTAAAATCCCACTGGAAGTCCTGATGGGTAATACGTTCGGGGGAAAAATGGATGATTTGACCTAGTTTTTATTTACGTGCCTCAGAATCATTGCCTGAGTGCCAATAACAAGCTTTACTATTTTACTTTCACAAGCGGGGCAGTAATACTTTCATGGTAGAAAGCATATCGCCCACGGCGGTCATGGAAATCTGAGCCCTAAACATCCAGAAGTGCCCCTGAGCACGAGAACCCCAGCAGACAGAGCTGCCGTCTCTTGCCACATTAAGCCGGCATTATCATCCACCAGGACAAACCCAGGACCCAACACACCAGCAAATGGTTTGAGTTAGGGCGGGGCAATATATCAAAAAATTTATCGTTATCGAAATTTCGGACTCTCATCAAGATAATTTTTCCCATGTCGATAAATTTGATAATAAAAAAATGAAAAGATGTGTGTAGGTTGGCAACATTCATGTCCCTTTAGAAAGCTGTACCGCATTGAGTCCAACACATTCTCACACCCTAAGCTTCGAAAAATGACGTGGCGTGTTTGTTTCCGACGCGTAGGGAGCCCTGCTCCTCGCTGTGCGAGAGCGTCAGTATCCGACGCCTGCGGTAAAACAGAGATTTCACAGACATTTCACCTCTAACCTCTAGCGATTTAATCTTCCCCTCACCCCCATCCTAACCTTAAGCCTGTATGTCAGTGTAAAATTTCCGTTAGGTGTGTTTGAAAGGAACGACGAAGCGCAAAACAAAGCTTTGCATGCGCAAGCTGGTTAAGGTTAGGATTGGGGTGAGTGGAAGGTTAAAGAGCAAGAGGGTAAAGGTCACATTTCAGTGAAATCTCCATTTTTACTGCGGGTGTTGCATACCAACGCTCTGGCACAGCACATCACGTCCCGACGCGCAGGGGCTCCCTACACGTCGGAAACAGATGCTTGGTCCCACCACATTTTTCGACACTTAGGGTGTTAAAATGTGTTGTTGAGTCACGTGAAAATGTGACTTATGGTGGTACATGTGACAGCCCCATCTAGTGGACAACTTTTGTTTCTGCGTACAGCTGTATTTATCGTCCATTTATCGTTATCGATGTGAAATCCTCAATATATCGTGATATTGATTTTAGGCCGTATCGCCCAGCCCTAGTCTGAGTATCAGGATTTCATCCTGATGCATAATGGCAGTCAGGCACCATCATCTGTCTAATGCAGGGCTGTATGTCCCTCGTGGATATAGCTACTCAGACTAACACTGACAACCTCTAGGGTTCAGATGTTGCCTCGTGGTACCAATAGAGACTCAGATGCACGACTGACAAACAGTCAAAACAGAGTAGGGCGAAAACGTCCGTGGCCTCCATTTGTAAAACCATTCCTGTTTTTAGGCTGTCTCATTGCTGCTCCTTTAGTGCGCCGGTTTCATAATCGCAGATGCCACTGAAACAATCCGTGATTATGAAACAGGTGCACTTAGTGCACCAACAGCTGTTGCTGAAGGCGAGCAGGTGAACTCAATATAGGTTCGGTTAAAACCAGGAACTAAAATCAAAGACAGTGAACAAAAGGATAACAGGAGGGAAAACAGCAGGTGTGGCTCATGTGGGCTGAATGAGGCCGATGAAGCAGAGGGAGAGCTGAGTGAGCGTCTGGGGAGCTGAGGGTGGAAAACTAAAACCGAACCAAAAATAATAATAAACAGCTGACATGTATTTTATATACTATTATTTATATTTATTATTTAAGACCTTAAAATCAATATTTAGTCTGCATTATATTAAAAAACATTCTCAATTATAAAAATATAATGAACATATTACAAGGCCTTTATGTTTATGTTTATTCATTTAGCAGACGCTTTTATCCAAAGCGACTTACAATTTATAACCTAGAGGGCATGTTGTGATCTGTGGGGGAAACCGGAGTACCCGGAGGAAACCCACGCATGCATGGGGAGAACACGCAACTCCACGCAGAAAGGCCGCAGCCGAGTTTGGAACCTGCAACCTTCGTGCTGCGAGGCAACAGTGCTAACCACTGCGTCACCATGCAGCCTTTAATGACAAAAAACACACATTTATAATTCCTAACAGCTGACGATTGAGTATTCAGAACATAAGATGTCTTCAGGAGAGCACAATGTTCTCAAAGCCCAGAAAACCCTCCTCCTGATGATATCAGAGTAGAAAGACTCACTCGTGCAGTCAACACTTATTTTGTTCTCGTGTCGCATGAAAACGAAGTGAAACAAAGTTCTGTGCGGTTAAACTATCCATTAAAATGCTTCAAAGTTTGGCCAAAGAGCTATAAATCTGTCAATTATAAACATGAGAGGAGTTTACATTTCATGCATGAAGGTGATGCATTCCTTCATTGAATGACAGCTCTTTCATTCTTCCTAACGTCAAACAAAAGAGCTCGTATTCATATCGGTCCACAGCGTTGGTGGTTCTAGATCTGAAGCAACGCTTGATAAAGCTGCATCAACTTCATGATTAGGTCTCAAACATCTCCACTTTACTATCAAGTTTTAACCAACTGGGTCAGGGCAAACTGGAGAAGGTGTAATGGAAAGCCAAGAGTTAACTAAATGATTGAGTGGAACATTTAAAGAGCAAGTCACCCCCTGCCAGATTCTTACTCAATTCCCACTTCCTGTTGAAAAATGCAACAAATGCTAACAAACACACAAACTCACAACATTGTGACATCATAATGTACCATTTAACATCATAGTGTACCTCTTAGCCAATAGTGATGGCAGATTTAAATTCAAATGTAGTGCTGAGTTTTTGCCTGACGACGGTGCATCGCTGACAGTTTTAGGCAGAATATTTAAATTTTAACTAAGATGCACTAAAGTGCCGAATTATTGACTACATTTGTCTACAGCACAATTGGACACTCATTTATATAGTTTATCAGCAAAAAAATTGTGATTTGGAGTGACTTGCTCTTTAAATAAATCCTAATTAGTGTAGAATGCTCACACTAATGAGCTCATTGTGTTACTATGACATTATGGTGTAAATGTGCATCGGCCTACTTTCACAATCACTGTTCTCTACTGAATACACTCTTTAAAAAAACCTTTTTCAACATTTTACTGTATTTTTATGTGTAATGTCACCAGCTTGCGTTTATAGATCCTGCCTAAACATCTTATATAAATTCTGTTTTTAAATACAGTGAAAAACATAACAGTAACAATAAGTTACAATAAGTTACAACTGTATCATTAGAACATACATTTTATGTAAAATCCAGTCATCTGAAATAATATGGAGACTATATAGGAGAAGCAAACCTTGTGTCAGGGTGAGTCTCTGTATCTGCTGTCTGTGAAAAATCAAACTGGCTCCTAACAGTTTTTTTTATGTAATTATTATTTTTAATAAAACCTGACATAAACCAGCTCTGCTAGCTTTGAACTGGAAAATTTCAGGGTGAAACTAACTTCAGTTCAACAGATAAAATTCTTCTTGTGCAGTTTGACTAGAACCAGAAAAGACAAATCAGACAAGTACAAAGACAAGTTCAGCATGAACACAATGTTTCTTACCGGGCTAAATAACAAAGGTGAACTACGTTGGAAATGACCATGTTTTCATTTCTCTGAGACAAAGCAGGAAAACCAGTCTGGCATGAAGCTTAGCAGCTTAAGCTTAGCTGCAGGTCGGTTCAAATGGAAGGTGTTCCAAAGGTTATCTATAGGACAGAAAAAACGGTCGAGTGCAGACAAAATGAAGTTTAAGTTTATTTCAGTAACAATCTAAAATTAAAAAATGAGATATTCATCTCACCAAAAGAATATGAATCTACAATCCCTGTAACGCAGGGGTGCCCAATCCTGGTCCTAGAGGGCCGGTATCCAGCAGGTTTTGTGGTTTTTCTGCTCCAACACACTTGATTAACTGGTTGAATCACCTGTGCAGCATCTCATCAGGCTCTGCAGAAGCCTGTTAATCACCTGCTGATTGAAATCAGGTGTGTTGAAGCAGAATTAAAACTAAAGCATGCTGGATACCGGCCCTCGAGGACCAGGATTGGGCACCCCTGCCAAAGGAATAGGCTGAAGCTGAGGCTTAGTAAATACCTACGCGACACAAAACACATCATCTTACAGATTCATCATAATACAAAGTTAGACAAAAGACAAAAAGCAGGAATGAAATAACACAATTCAGTCTAAATTATTCATGTTCATTCATTCCCGTGTTCATCTTGCTCTACAGTCCTTAATTACAGCAGTGGGATGCAAAAGTTTGGGCAGCCATTTTAATCTTCACGGTTTTCCTCTATAAATTGTTGGTTGTTACAGTAAAATATTCCTTTAAACACACCATAAAGGAATATTGATCTCCAAACTTTCGCATCCACTGTATGTTATCCTGTAGTAATTTATTGACAAATATTCAATTAATTATGGTTTCAGCTTAACTCCCTACCATGAAAACATTGTTCCTCCTAAGATGGTGAGGGGAAACTGTTATCATTGCTCTAAATACACAAATTTGACCATAAGACTATAAATAATTAGTTGGTTGGCTCCCAATAGGGAGCTTTATTTATTATTCTTATAGTTGTCTTCTAGAAACCATTCAAATAATTTACTTCACAAATTTGATAAAAAATAAGTACTATTCAATTTTAATGCAATATTAGTCCTAATCAAATGCAGAAACATCATTGTCTGTTTCTCCTTTGAAATAAAAAAATGTTTTAAAACTTTTCTTTTCCGTTTTTCAGAGTCTAAGCCACAGCTTGGTAAGTCAACACCTCTGTAAAACAATACTACCCTCCCCAACCCATGCTTTTATATTATCATTTTTCTGTCTCTGTATGACTACACAGCTAATAAAAGAAAAGTAGTATCAATACTCATCGTGGAATGAGATTACTTTTATCTATGTTCTCATTATCAGTTTTATATCTTGCAAGGGGAGACAGATTCATGCATCATTGTCTACCTTTCTACAGTCTGTGGTGTATCAACACTCAACACCAGGATTGTTGGGGGTCAGGTGGCTTCAAGTGGCAACTGGCCCTGGCAGGTCAGTCTACAAACCACGTCTCATTTCTGTGGAGGATCTCTGATAAATGATCAGTGGGTTCTGACTGCTGCTCACTGCCTCACATGGTGAGTCTTTCCGTCGATTTGAGATCATTGTTCAGCCGTTTGGGGTCTTTCCAACTCTTTAGAATTAGGGTGAAGAACACAGACAGCATTTGCAGACTAATAGACTGACTGGTTATAAAATCTTTTTACTTCTGGTTAAATTATTTAAAAAAAAAGATAAGTAGAGACATTTTTTAAATGATGTTTTTTTTGGTCCCTGCATTTAGGCTCAGCAGCGCATCTAGTGTGACCGTGTTTCTGGGTCGTCAGACTCTACAGGGATCCAACCTAAATATGGTGTCTCGGAAAGGAGCACGCATGATTGTTCACCCAAGCTACAGCGCTGAAACTAATGACAACGACATTGCCCTCCTTCAGCTAACCTCATCTGTGACTTTCACCCCCTACATTACACCCGTCTGCCTGGCAGCTTCAGACAGCACCTTCTACAGTGGAGTTAGCTCCTGGGTCACTGGCTGGGGCAACACTGCAAGTGGAGGTGGGCTTAAAACACAATAATCAAAATAAAGAATGAAATATTATATTCATTACAGTCATCATTTTCTAATGGAAATTATTATCGAAAGAAAGTTTGACTATATGCTAAACGCAATTCTTATTTACTTTAGTTAAATATTGAATTTAGTTATTACAATACCTAATACCTCATTTTTAAAGTAATACTGACCCAAAAAACATGGATTAAAAACATGCACAAAAATTCTGCTTTGATAGAAATGTTACAGATCATTGTCTTGGTACGGGTCGAAAAATTAGATTACAATAAATGGCTAACAGTGATTCACATTAAAATAATTTACACACTTGTGGATAAGCCACATCGTAGCCACAGCCGTCCTGGGGAACACTGACAGAAGTGAGACCGCCACACAATCAGTATCACGAGGCCCTTGAACCACTACCAGAAAGCAAGCAAGGGGAAGTGTCTTACACAAGAATGACTGATAAAACAGAGGTTGTGTGACCTGGTAACCCGCTGGTTACAGCTTAATACATTTTTGTCACTCATTCCATACATTTAAATTAATATTTTATAAAGACTCATCATACATAGTGAAGTATTTCAAGCCATTATTTCGTATACCGTAAATCCTCTAATACATGCCTGTATTCAGTTAACGGCCGGGTCTCATATTTTGGCCGGTGTCGGAGTCGGCGGAGGTGAATAATGGCCGGTCTCTTATTGTGGCCGGGTGGAATGTGGTAACAAGCAAGTACGGGGGCGGTTGTGTCATCGTCTCACTTTTGATTTGCCAGTGATAGACCGCGAGGGTAACTTTAACCGTGCGGAGACGAAGAGGAGGCGAAAATTTGATATCAAGTTCAAAGAGAACGTGCGCTGCAGAACACTGGGGAGCAGTAGGGGTTGTATGAACTAGTCGACTTCACTATAGTGACTTTTTATGCCTGTCGTCGACTAGTCGCTGTCACGTGATAATGACCGGCAAGATGCAGCCCTCGGAAAAGACAGCAGCCTGCTGTCAGCAGGTGACAAGCTCCTGCGCTCGGGGGGGCAACGCGCTGTGCCAGAGCATCGGTACTGACACGCGATCGTTCATGTCGGTTCATTACCTTTAATGTTTTCTGTCTTTTATTTGCGCCTGATGTGTTTCGCTGCTGTGGAGCAGGGCGCATCACCTTGTCCTCCGGTGACGCACCAATCACTGATGTGGCCAGCAAGCAGCGAGCACTCCGCTGTTTTTGCGGTGGGTAGATCTTTTAGAACTGCAGTTCAAAGGTAACTCATAAGGTGAATATATATGAACCCAGGTAGCAGTTTCTCTTTAGGATTGAGAGGAGATGCAGGAAGATAATAAACAGAGACAGGACAGAAAAATAGTCAAATAAAAACAAGTTAGTTTTTGTATCTGGTGGTTGCAACAAACAGACACCATTGAAGGTAATCAGAAGTGAGGAACAGAAAATGAAATAATTATTTTAACGTTTAGAGCAGCAGGAACTCCGAGAGGCTGCAGGCGCATCAGTGAGTTTGCGGCCGCTGCACTGGGGGAGGGGGCTGAAGCAGAAACTACCGTTGTTAAAAGAAATGTGTTTAACTTTGAAAATGTGGGCACAATTTTAATTGTCAAAAACTCCAGCGAACCATTAGTTCATTTTGCTCAAATAGAAATAGAGGCCTGCCTCTAATTCTGGCCCTCCTTCCAATAAAGGCCTGGAGCTTGATGAGCTTGAGTCAAATAAAGGCCCGGGCCTGTATTAGAGGATTTACGGTAATTCTGATGATTATGGCTAACAGATAAGGAGAACCCTAACTTCTGTGTCACTGAAAATTTGACTATTGTGAAAAAGTAAAATATTGTGACTTATCATTTCATTCATTCATTAATTAAATCAAAACACATGCAAATGTTTCCTGAGCCTCTAAGTGTCTGTCTGGGTTGGCAGTCTGCACAATCATGGGGAAGACAGCTAACTGGACAGATGTCCAGAAGACAGGGTGTGTTTCCATTACCGGAACTTCACGGTAAATTCTGGGACGGGGAAATTGACTGGGAGATACAACGTCCCAGTCCTCTCAGCTGTTGTGTCTCCATTCAAATTCAGCCCTTTCATGACTTTGCACAGACGTTAGCATATCGCGACTGCTTTGTCAGTGAGTGATGTCACTGATCAGCATCAAAAAGCGTCCACATAACATTAAAAGCATTTATTCTGTCGGAGTATGTCCTTATTTATTCCTTTCAGAGAACGGCAGCTGCTGTGTGATGTAAAATGTGGTGTTCAGATGGTAGCAGTAGAAATATGTACAGGAAGAAGTTGTTTTGGACAACGTCTGCTGATGTAATTTCCTACTGAGTTACAACCAATCAGAGTGAGTTAACTAAAGGTTTCGCTTAACTACACTGCCGAGCCATGCTTCGAATGTATCTGAAAACGGCCCAGAAAACGACCATTCCGGTCAAGTGGAGACACGTGCATATCGGGGGTTCCTGTAAATATACCCTGAAGTTAATTGTCCACAGAGTGCTCAATCCAATAATGTTCATGGAAAGTTGAGTGGAAGGAAAAAGTGTGTTAGGAACTGCAGCTTTGAGAGGATTGTCTAAAAATATCTATTCAGTAATCTGGAGGAGCTTCATCAGGAAGTGGAAGAAGTCAGAGCTTCACAAGCCTCTATACCAGGGGTCACCAACCTTTTTGAAACCGAGAGCAATTTAAAGGGTATGGAGTAATACGAAGGGCTACCTGTACATGACACACTTCTGTCTATTTTTATTTTTAATTCAATGTTGAAATGTCTGACAACATTTAATTTGCTTCTCAAATAATAATGATGATTTAAGGCAGGAAACAGATAAATCTCAACATGCAACACTTTATTTTTTTTATCTCAGTCCATTTCAGTTGTCTCATATTCAAATAATCACCTCTGCAACATTTCTTGGAAAAACATGTCCCATTTTTACTAACTACTTCTGAAACAATCTTAATCAGACTAGGTAAATTGTCAGTTATGTAACCTTTCAGTCCTGCAAAACACAACTTTTTACCACCAAATCTTTAGCATTTTTAACTAAATCTGTACATAACAGCTTGAATATGTCGGAACTTTGCCATGCAGCTGTTTAGTTGAAAACATCTGGCATATTTCTTTTTCTATTAGTGGGAAACCTGGCACTGCATGCTGGTCCCCAGTTTACTGTAATCTGGGGGTGTAACTTGATACTGCAACTCTGAGTCGTGTAGATGAGCATCAGTAAGGCGTGTTCTGTTTGCTCTTTATGAAGTTCATGTCAGAAAAGGCTGATTCACAGAGATAAGTTGAACCAAACATGCAGGCAACCTTCATAGCTGCTGTGCACACACCTTTGTACTTCTCTGTATCCACAAGGCACCAAAAGTTTGATTCACTTTGATTGGCTTTGAGATGGAGGTCGTTTTGCAGTGTTATAATTTCTATCTCCACCTCCCCAGCATTCAAGCTGAATGTTGCACTTAGCTGCTCAGCAATGCATGCAATTTCTACTTGCACAAAAGGATTGGAAGAAGAAGAAAAGAAGAAAATATAATTTCTATAGCGCCTCTCAAGATAAAAATCACGAGGCGCTTGAAATGAATGACACACATGGCTCAAGTTGATCAAAGTCACGAAACCTATTCTCAGACTTTTGTCCAAGTCTGTTAATGACTTCAGAGTATTTGTCCACAACTTTGTCAAAAGTCTCAGATGCAGAAGCATTGTCATTCAGCACTGACTGCACAGAAGGAAAGTGCAGCACCCTTTTTTTCTGTAAATGCACAGGGAAAATGTTCATCTTGGCTTTGAATGTGTTTACAGAACGTATCATGTCAGCAACAGTTTTACCTTTGCCTTGCAGCTCACACTTCAAATGGTTAAGTTTCCCGGTGATGTCCGTTAAAAATGCAAGGTCAAGTATCTATTCAATGTCCTCCAGCAACGACATGTCTTCACCTTTGGATTGCATGAACTTCTTGATTTCACACAAAAGTGAAAAAAAAAAAAACATTGCAAAACCCGTCCCCTGCTGAGCCATCTGATTTCTGTAACAGGTCGCCATATTCTGCTGACAGCTCCTCCAATAGCACTTTGAATATCCTGTGCTGTTTGGCTTTGGAGCGGATGCTATTTATGATCTTCACAACAGGAGTCATCACACGCTCAAATCCGGTCACTTTTGAACATATCGCCTGCTGATGAATGATGCAGTGGTAATGTAGAAATGTTGGGAAGTCTGTGTCACCTTTGCAGTGCGCGATGAAACCTGCATGCCGTCCGATCATGGCAGGAGCCCCATCTGTAGTCATGGACACCAGCTTTTCTAGTGGTACCTTTTCTTCCACAAGAAAACTCTTAACTGTGTTGTAGATATCAACTCCCCTTGTAGTTGTCTGGAGGGGCAGTAATGTCAGAAGTTCCTCTTTTGTGGAGAAGTCATCAAAAACCATACGATTAAAGACCATCAGCTGTGCTGACCTGCTGCAGTCCACAGACTCGTCACACTTGCATGTTTTCAAATCCTGCTCCAGCTGCTCTGTTAAGTTCTCTTACATAGCCGTCACTCTTCCTACCATTGTACTTGCGCCCAGTTGGACGTTGGAGAGAGTGGAGATGACATCGGTTCCATTCTTCTCATCTTTAAATACAGTCTTTGCGATTATCATCATTGCTTCTTTGAAAACTTCTCCATCTGAAAATGTCTTGTTCTTAATCTAAAAATGTGTGGCTCTAAATGATGCTTCTGTTGTTTTTTGTGACTTTTCCACCGGCTTCTTGAATAAAAACTGCTGTTTGCCCAAAGCTGCCTTTAACTCACGTGCTTTTTCTGTCCGTAGTGCGCTGCTAGGTGGGTAGCTAGCATTGTAGCTTTTATGACAAGTGCTGAAGTGTCTCTCCACATTGTGCCGCTTTGCTGTCGCCACAGTCATACCACAAATGAGACACACATTTTTCTCTCACAAGCGTAAAAAGAACTCCTCCTCCCAATCACTATGAAAATGATATGTTTTCTTACGTTTTTCAGCCATTTTCGGTTGGTATCCAGCTCCTCGTTGGAGCAGCACCCGCCCGCTAGCTTAACGCCAAATCGAACTAGTAGGTCAAAGAAAGTTCATGTTTACGTCTTCTTCTTCTATGGTTTTTAATGACAGCTTGCAGCCTGTGTGATTGCAGTACTGCCACATTCATGTACGGTAAAGTATTTATATGTCGATGGTAAAATATGAAAACATACAAAATATAAAATATTTTTGTTCTTAAAAATGATTCGTTAATAGTTTCATTTTCAAATAAGCATTGATGCAACTGTGACTCAAAAAGAAAAGCAACACAATAAAAAAAGGAGATATCAAGTCAAGTTCAGTGGTGACTAGTGCTATTTTTAGAACATAGCCTGCGGGCACCCCGTGGTTACCCCGAGAGCACCTTGGTGCCCGCGGGCACCACGTTGGTGACCCCTGCTCTATACAAAGATGAATTCTGTCAATCTACTCCTGAACTAGACATCAGAACCACCTTACCTGGGCTAAGAAAACAAATACCCGACTGTTGATCTGGGGTCCAAAGTCCTCTTTTCAGATTAAAGTAAAGCTTTCATGTCTCTTGCAAATCAAGGTCCTAGAGCAGGGGTGGGGAACCCTGGTCCATCAAGGGCCGCTATCCAGCATATTTTAGTTTCAAACCCTCATCATCACACCTGATTTCAATCAGCAGGTGATTAGCAAGCTTCTGCAGAGCCTGATGAGCTGCTGAACAGGTGAATCAACCACTGAATCAGATGTGTTGGAGCAAAGACGTGCAGGATACCGGCCTTTGAGGACCAGGGTTCCCCACTCCTGTCCTAGAGTCTGGAGGAAGTGAGGAGAGGCTCAGCATCCATGTTGCTTTAGTGTGAAGCTTCCACAGTCAGTGGTGATTTGGGGTTCCATGTCCTCTGCTGGTGTTTGTCCACTGTTTTCAAAAGTCCACAGTCAACTTAAACACCTACAAGGTGTTTAAGGTGTTTATGGAGATGCTGATTTCATTTTCCAGTTTGACTTGGTACCTGCCCACACTGCCAAAGGTACCAGAAGCTGGTTCAATAACAATGGTATGCTCGATCGGCCAGCAGCCCCCCATTGCCCCCAATTTTTAGAATAATCAAAATTCCCAAAGTTTATCCTTGTAAAGATTGAGCCCACTGTGTTCTGCAACACATGGAGCTTTACAGGGAGGAGCAGCAAATATTTTATATTTTAGCTTTATAGAAAACCAGTATAGTTCTATTTTAAACGAGAAAACATGAATCATATATTGTATACAGATTTATGTTTAATTTAGTCTCACAGTGTTGTTTACAAAACTGGGTTTGTGTCTCCTCAGGGTCCCTTCCTTACCCTGGAAACCTAATGGAGGTTCAGGTGCCAGTTGTGGGTAATAGGCAGTGTAAGTGCAACTATGGAGCAAGTGAAATCACCAACAACATGATATGTGCCGGGTTAGCTGCAGGAGGGAAGGACGCCTGTCAGGTGATCACCTTTATCCTATTGAAGAGTTGCAGTTTATTTTTTTTACCATCCTAAACTAAATATTTCTCATCTTAAAGGGAGATTCGGGCGGTCCAATGGTGAGCAAGCAAGGCAATGTCTGGGTTCAGGCAGGACTAGTAAGTTTTGGAGTGGGATGTGCCCAGCCAAATTACCCAGGAGTCTACACCAGAGTGTCCCAGTACCAGAGCTGGATCAACGGCCAGATAACCAGCAACCAGCCAGGCTTTGTCACCTACATGTCCAATGGAACTGACAGTGACCTTAGTGTCTCATGTCCAGGAGTGCCACCAATTACAACCGCAGCTACTACAACCACCACAACCACCACAACTACCACAACTACCACACCTACATCTACAACCACCACAACTACCACTCCTACATCTACAACCACCACAACTACAACAGCCCCTGGCCTTACGATAAGCACAAATACAACTACCACTCCTACAACTACCACAAAAACAACACCACCAACTACCACTTCTACAACAACCACTACAACAACAACACCAACTACCACTTCTACAAAAACAACTACAACAACACCAACAACCACACCTACAACAACCCTTGGACAGAGCACCACACCTGGACGTGAGTACCGACCATGTTTAAATTATACAAAGACAGGAAGGCTGAAGCACTGAAGTGAGAAAACATTTGAATGGGCGCGAGCAAACCAAATACCAACGTTTCTACGCTTATTTGGTCTTCATCAGAGTAACGTAATGTTTAAGTTATAAAAATATATTTTTTTAAATCTTTGTGAAGTTGACAAAAATGTTTCTTCACTGTAATAACTTTACGTTTACACTTTAAACTAGTTAATGATGTTATTGATTTTTGCACACATCACAAGTCTAATTTAGAAACGTTTATAAATCAAGTTTATTTTCAACATTATCAATTTCTCTTTGAGTTCAAGAAAGTCTGGGTAAATGACAAATGTGTACGTGTTTATTTTGTTTGTCTCTTCAGCTGTGGTTTGTGGAAGGGCCCCTCTAAATTCTCGTATTTTGGGTGGAAGTTCTTCCACAACAGCTGGTGAGTGGCCATGGATGGCAAGTCTGCAGAAAAATGGACAGCATGTGTGCGGTGGGACGCTGGTGTCTGAGACCTCTGTACTGAGCAATGCCAATTGTTTCTCAAGGTGAGTTTAACAGTGGCTGATGGGTAAATAAATTGATAGTTGTTCTTTCAATCTGACACACTTCCATCTATTTGCTACACCTACTCATTCCTGTGCACGGTCTCAAGGCAACGAATGCCTGTCTCCAGGCACTGCTTCGAGATGCAAATCGAGTGCACCTCCCACACAGTTTTGCCAACTTAGCAACTTTGTTGCTATTTCTAAAAATTTTCATACCCTCCTTCTTGACCTTTTTCCCCCAAAAGCACATGGCGAACAACCTACTGACATTTCTGGTAACCCTTAGCTACTTTCTGTATAACTGAGTTTGTCCATTGTTCTAGATAGAAAGTTTGAAATCTTGGCTCTACTCCATCTGCCCTTGCGTTCGTGTTAGAAAGCCCTTGCAACAACAAGTAATGGCGCTGCACAACACAGATGGAGGAGTAGAAACTAGGCTCAAGAAATGTAGCAGCTGGGATCTTTTTGCAGCAAGCCAGCTGTTTTAACTGTGGAGCACTCTGTCTTATGTCATATAAGATAATATATCTGATATAAAAAATATATATAACATCAGTTTTTACAGTTATCAACTTGACACAAAGAATTTCAGTACATTTTTAGAATTATTTCATAGTTGTTTGATTATTTAACCCTAAAATTATAAATATTTTACTAAAGTATGTTTTACAGTTTTTATGCTATTTTAAAGGAGAGGTTTTCGAAAACTTTTGATTTACTCTAAAAGATGTCTCAAATGTAACCTGAAAAGTTTCAGTCTTTGTTACAAACCAGTAAATTGTGTTAACTTCTCTTAAACTCTTGTTTAAATTGTCTTCTTTCCTCCAGCTCCCCTAATGCATCTGAATGGACGGTTATTTTGGGTCGTCTGAAGCAGAATGGGACTAACCCATTTGAGGTCTCAATGAATGTGACAAATATCACCTTGAGCAACCAAACAGGCTCCAACATTGCATTGCTGAAACTGTCAGCCCGACCCGCTTTAACAAACTACATTCAGCCCATCTGTCTGGACAACTCGAGAACCTTCCCAGTGGGATCAACATGCTGGGCTGCTGGATGGAGCTCCGGACAGGGAGGACGTCAGTACAAAATACAAAGGCTTAAATGTTTAATGTCTGGGAAGACCAATGCATCTTATAATCATTTAATTTTCTTCTCCATAGAAGAACAGGTTCTGCTGGAATTTGAGACACCCGTGATTGATTGTGGGAATGTGACAAGCGACAGCATTTGTACAGGACTGTTTGCATTGGAGCAGGTACATATTTATACTTATAATGGTTGATCTTCCCTGTTTCATTGATATTTTTTCAGACCCTAACAAGAGCTGAATCTCCCGTCTCCTCAGACAAAATGCTCTTTGTTGAGCAGGTAAACAGAAAGAAGTTCCAAAGAGTTTAATTACTTAAAGGGACATTATGGAAGTTTGACAGCCAAAACATGTATAGAAATAATAAATGTCTTCTTCATACATTCTCCTGCAATGCCCTGGTCCTGTAGAATGAGCCCTGGTATTTTTACTGTGACTGCCTGTTTTTCTGTAAAATCACAGAAAAAGAGAGATGCTCGGGTTGAGCAGGCTGCTTCATGCACGTTCACTCTCAGGCATAGCCCGTAGCATTTGCTATCCGTAGCTTTAGTAGCAGAGAGAGAGGCAGTGCCAACTTCCTAACGCCTAGTGATGAACCTAGCTATATTTCTGAGGACCCTTAGCTACTTTCTGTAGAACTTTCTTCTAGATATTTCCTGCAAATTAGCAACAAAATAGCCATTTTCGCTCCGAACCGTTCTTTGAACGTTTCAGCGGTCATCAAGGATATAAAAGTTACAGATACTATGAATGTTACTGGTGCTTTAGCTCACCTTGTAAGATGTCTGACTCTCATGCAGAAGACTTGGGTTTGATTCTGGGTGTGAACATAGTTTATTCAGAGTTTATTTTTTACATTAATGGTATATTTTTTTACAGTAAGATGCCCAAATTTTTATTTGAGACTCGCCGAACGGCATTGAATTCACAGATAAAAAAGATGTGGGTTCAACTTTCATTTTGGAACAATTTTTCAAGCAAGGGAAGGGAATGATCTGAGCATGCAGGAGGACTGACCCATCTTAAACCTTTGTTGGCTGTGCTGAAGAGAAAGGTACAGAACCAAATTATTTAATTAATTAGCTGCACGTTCTTCTGTCCTCTGTCCTCCGGGCCACACACACACACACACACACACACACACAAAGGACTGTCTCAGCTGTTATTTTCGTTAAGGAGTGTGCACGTACAGCATGCGCGCCTCGTGCACGAGCCTACTATTGAAGCTGCCGTTACACTTTTGGCCTAAGGGAGCAATCGCGAGCATAAAAATTCAAAAGTCCGTAAAGTCCCTTTAACAAAGGAACCGAGATATTTTGACCATGTCCCGGAAATTACCTTTTGTCATGGCGCCAGACTTGGAGGAAGAGCTTGTCTTGTGACATCATGTTATCATCTGACAATCTTTGAAGAATAATTAGTTTTCCCACCAGACTGGTTAGTTTGAAGCCAATGTTTAATTAAGAAAACATCCTTTTGTTTTTATAAGCAAATGACAGACTCTATCCATAAAACGTTTGTATTACAGTAACACTGTGCCAAGTTTAAAAGGTCTTAGAAGAAGGTTGTCTGCTTGATTAATCAAACAGTTTTACTCCTTTAATCTCAACAGCTGGTGTTTCTTGGTCAAAATAGCGTGTATGACTTGTTTGCACGAAATACAAAAAGATGCTTGAGCATAATGGGAAATTCTCAGCTGATAAACATGTACTTTGTGGGAATAGTTCTAGATCATGACCATTTTCTTTGGGCTGTGTACTATAGCACTGAACCTGTCACCAGGCTACTCTGTTCATGTGCTACCACAGTAACATTTAGATTAGTCTGTTTGGCATAAAGCCAGCTTTACTTTCAATGTTTTCCTTCAGGAAAAAAAAACTGGTCATGGACGCTGCTCATAACTTATACTTATACTGGAACCAAATGGTATAAAGGTGGTTTGACACAATGTCTTTTTGTAGATGTATGAGATCAGCACATCCAAGCCACATTTATCATCTATACAGGATCTCACACTAACTTATGAACCTAATATTACCTCAGCAAATAAATTAAGCCTCTCACAGTCTTGTTCACGACTTCAAAGAAATTATGCGCAAAGCTGGTGGGTGGATTGTTGCTTGATTGGCAGCGATGGGGATTTCGTGCAAGTGTATCAGACAGCCAGATTTTCCGAAAGACAAAACTGTTCATTGCCTGGTTAAACAACATTCCTACCTCCTGGTCATGAGACATGAGATGTTACCATAGAAGAAGGTTTGCAGTTAGGCTCGTACTAACAAATAAAGTAAGATTACTGTAAAGCTATTGCAAAAAAACAAATGGGGAGGTGGAAATGAAAAGAAACTACATGGAATTGGAATCTTGCTGGTTCTATATCAGTAGGCTGATGAACCCATTGGTTCTGGGTACAAGCAAAATCTTGGTGCAGAATTCAAACAAATTTGTGTTTAGACATGGTCTTTTGAGGGATGCTGTCTCAGCAGGTGTGAGACATCATAACCAGTGGTAACATCAAGCCACTGATATTTCAGCCCTACAATAAAACTTACTACAAATGACCCAGTTTTATGTTGTTTGGTGTTAACTTACTGTCAACAGTAGGTTGGCTAAAAGACTGTTGTTTACCATTCAGCCCGCTGATTCCTGGCTGGATGGAACATATTTCCCAGCGTCTTCTAATGAATCATCACAGTAAACTAAAAATGTGTGATTCATGGATGTAAACACCTTACAACACAATAATTATGTAGTCTATAAAGCAGGTTTTACAGTAAATTAGATAGAATAATGAACGCTTCTTGTGGTTTTTCCTCAGGGTGATTCTGGCGGCCCACTAATGTGTAAGCAGGACAACTTCTGGTTCCAGGCGGTCGTGCTATCATTTTCAAGCAGCTCTACCAGGCCAAAGCGACAGACAGCTGTTATGAAGTTTGAAAAACTGAGCCAATTTCAAGACTTCCTGGTTCAGACACTAGGGAGGCTCTTAACTCCAACCGTCAGCAGCACCAGTGACACCAACAGCACTGCTGCCACCAACAACAGCACTGCTGCCACCAACAACAGCACAGCTGCCACCAACAACAGCACTGCCGCCACCAACAACAGCACTGCCCCCACCACTACCAACACAAATACCACAGTTGGAGAAACTCATAACTCCTGCCCCATCTTCACCTGCCTCCATCCCCTGGTCTTCTCTTTGTGCCTTCAACTTTTTTATACAACAGTTTAATTTTCCTTCTTCTACTTGATGTGAAAGGCAAATGAAACGGCGCAGCACAAGAATTTGGCACTTTTTAAACTTGAAACTCAGGCCCTGTCCACACGTAGCCGGGGATCTGCCAAAACGTAGATATTTTTCTACGTTTTGGCCTGTCATCCACACGAAAACGGAGTTTTTTCACACGAAAACGGATCTTTTTAAGAACTCCGGCCAAAGTGAAGATCTGCATTTTCTCCGTTTTGGTGTCTGCGTGTGGACAGACAAAACCGGAGTTTTAAGGTCCGCAACGTCACTTTCCGCGACAAAAAAATGCTGACATCACGTGTGCGACCTGTGTTTACACTAGCCGACAGCATGGATGCCCTCAGAGCTGCGCTCGCTTTATCAATTGTCCAAGTGCTTTTTGCTTGTTTGTTTTTGCAAGCAGAATTACTGCTCCTTGCGGAAGACCACAGACGAAGGATGAGGTTAAGAACGGGGGAAGTACTGCCGCCTACAGGTCTGGCATGTCCTTAACAACGTATTTATCCGGGTACGTGTGGACAGAGTTTATTTTTAAAACGAGGTGGTGTGGATGCAAGTTTTTGGAGGGGCGGATATTCGTTTAAAAAAAAACGGCTACGTGTGGACTAGGCCTCAGTCAGTTCATGGGCTTGACTCTGTCTCTTTCTGTTGATCATTAGCTGAGTTGTGATGCTGGAGCGGTTGACGAATCAGACATTTAAAAATAGAAAACCAGTGAAGGTTTTTATCAGTGAGGTCTGAATTTTGAATGAGGTTGACATTATGAACATTCTGTTTTTTTGCTGAGGAAAGCTTGTTTTAGTTGGAACTTTTTGGTTTGCATACATTATTAGCAAGTCACCACCAGCATTAGCCAAGAAATGATCTCAATAAGGCACTGACCGAGGTTGGTAGGAAAGGTTATATAATTTGCCATTGTGGCAATATTATGGGAATTACGTCAATATTGGGCGATTTCAGTATCATAGTAAACCACTGGCCTGTGGCCTTTATTCACTTTTAAGAATAAAATAATTCTACCTCAGATGACGCTAATGCTAACTGATCAAAGATAACACACAGTGGGTCCTGATCATTCCTGCCAGGAACTCCTTTGGATGAGAGTGTCCAGTGATAATGGCAGAAAAATCTGATGATTCCAAGGTCCACTAATGATCATGTGTTCTACAAATCTTGGCTTTTAAACATCATGTTTTGAAAGTAAATATTTTGTTGTTTTTCTAAATGACTAATATCAGCAATAGGTCAAAATTATTTGATCAAATTATAATAAAAAAAATAAGCAAAAATGTGCATCTCTAGATTTCAGTGTCAAACTGGTTATAAAGCTTGTTGTGAAGTGTGAAAACCTTGCACATTTGTTGATTGAAAGTGGCTTTATTTTCAGAAAAGCAACTTGAAAAAAGAACATCACTGACAGTTATTTAGCTGATTTGCACAGAAAATAATATTGATTAAGCTGCACTGCAATTATTTGATTATACGTTTTGTTTTGGGGCTCAGATAGGAAAAGCTTAATATGTTTGTATATTAAACCAATAAACAGATTATATTTTTGTAATAATTACTCTGATTTTTTAAAAGTACAAATGCTCTAAAACTAATCCATTCATTTTTTTCTTTCATTTTTGTTGATTGCACATCTGTGAACTGCTGTAATGTGCCAATAAAAGTGGAGTAGAACACAAAAACTCTTGCATGCTAATCTCAAACCACTTCAGTGATTACATTTTGATTGTTATCCTGTTGATGTACAGGTTGAAATCTGAGCAGCTTAGTGTTTGTACTAAAAACTACTGCCTCCAGGGTTGTTCCTACCAATGATTATCTATAGAAACAACATTTAAAACCAAGGTGCCTGTGACTTACTGCTGATCTAAAACTAGGGATGCACCGATATTAATTTTTTGGGCCAGTATGCGATACTATCACTGTTATATATATATATATATATATATATATATATACACACACACACACACTCACATATGTATATATATATATATATATATATATATACACACACACACACACACTCACATATGTATATATACATATATACAGGTGCTGGCCAGTAAATTAGAATATCATCAAAAGGTTGAAAATATTTCAGTAATTCCATTCAAAACGTGAAACTTGTACATTATATTCATGCATTGCACACAGACCAATGTATTTCCGATGTTTATTACGTTTAATTTTGATATTTATAGGTGACAACCAATGAAAACATCAAATCTGGTATCTCAGAAAATTAGAATATTCTAAAGGCCAATGAAAAAATGTTTGTTTCTCTAATGTTGGCCAACTGAAAAGAATGAACATGAAAAGAATGTGCATGTATAGCACTCAATACTTAGTCGGGGCTCCTTTTGCCTCAATAACTGCAGTAATGCGGCGTGGCATGGACTCGATCAGTCTGTGGCACTGCTCAGGTGTTATGAGAGCCCAGGTTGCTCTGATAGTCGTCTTCAGCTCCTCTGCATTGTTGGGTCTAGCGTATTGCATCCTCCGCTTCACAATACCCCATAGATTTTCTATGGGGTTAAGGTCAGGCGAGTTTGCTGGCCAATCAAGGACAGGGATACCATGGTCCTTGAACCAGGTGCTGGTGGTTTTGGCACTGTGTGCAGGTGCCAAGTCCTGTTGAAAGGTGAAGTCTGCATCCCCATAAAGTTGGTCAGCAGCAGGAAGCATGAAGTGCTCTAAAACTTCCTGGTAGACGGCTGCATTGACCCTGGACCTCAGGAAACAGAGTGGGCCAACACCGGCAGATGACATGGCACCCCACACCATCACTGACGGTGGAAACTTTACACTGGACCTCATGCAACGTGGATTCTGTGCTTCTCCGCTCTTCCTCCAGACTCTGGGTCCTTGATTTCCAAAGGAAATGCAGAACTTGCTTTCATCAGAAAACATAACTTTGGACCACTCAGCATCAGTCCAGTCCTTTTTGTCCTTGGCCCAGGCGAGACGCTTCTTGCGCTGTTTCTTGTTCAAGAGTGGCTTGACACACGGAATGCGACACCTGAATCCCATGTCTTTCATGAGTCTCCTCGTGGTGGTTCTTGAAGCGCTGACTCCAGCTGCAGTCCACTCTTTGTGGATCTCCCCCACATTTTTGAATGGGTTTGTCGTCACAATTCTCTGCAGGGTGCGGTTATCCCTAGAGCTTGTACACTTTTTTCTACCACATTTTTTCCGTCCCTTCGCCTGTCTGTTAATGTGCTTGGACACAGAGCTCTGCGAACAGCCAGCTTCTTTAGCAATCACCTTTTGTGTCTTGCCCTCCTTGTGCAAGGTGTCAATGATTGTCTTTTGGACAGCTGTTAAGTCAGGAGTCTTCCCCATGATTGTGGGGCCTTCAAAACAAGACTGAGGGACCTTTTAAAGGCCTTTGCAGGTGTTTTGAGTAAATCAGCTGATTAGAGTGGCAGCAGGTGTCTTCTATATTCAGCCTTTTCAGAATATTCTAATTTTTTGAGATACCAAATTTGGAGTTTTCATTAGTTGTCACTTATGAATATCAAATTTAAATGTAATGAACATTGGAAATACATTGGTCTGTGTGCATTGCATGAATATAATGTACAGGTTTCACGTTTTGAATGGAATTACTGAAATATTTTCAACCTTTTGATGATATTCTAATTTACTGGCCAGCACCTGTATATATATATATATATATATATATATATATATATATATATGTATATACACACACACACACTCACATATGTATATATATATATATATATATATATATATATATATATATATATATATATATATATATATATACACACACACACACACACACACTCACATATGTAATATATATATATATATATATATATATATATATATATATATATATGTATATACACACACACACACTCACATATGTATATATATATATATATATATATATATATATATATATATATATATATATATACACACACACACACACACACACTCACATATGTAATATATATATATATATATACACACACACACACACACTCACACACACATATATATATATATATATATATATATATATATATATATATATTTATATCTACTTAAGATGTGACATCTCTTTTTCGAGCAGGTCCTCCTACAATACAACAAATAAAGAGTAAGATGGCAGTAAAATATTTCTATAAAGTGCAATTTGCAATATGTAATTATGTACAAACATCACACACATTTATGCTTCTGAGATTATTACTATCACTGTCACATGACTAAACAATTACGCATCTTCATCTCTTCACCCTCTGAAACAGATACAGAAACAGAAACAAGGTTGTAAAGATATCAGTTGTTAATATCTGCACAATACCGATATTGATGCCGGTATATTGTGCATCCCTATCTACCACAATAAATCAATTGTTTTTCGGTTAATTATCTGTTTCTTTCCTAAGTGTAAAACAAACCATCTTCATTTCAGGAAGAATGTCACACTGAATTACTGAGCTCCAGAACTGTTTTAAATCACACATTCACTATTGAAATGTTTTCAGGAGGGTTTGATACATGTAACTGTTGCCTGTTAGACAAATACACAAGTTCACAAAACAAACTAGTCAACATTCAGGAATCTGGGCATTCTGTACCTTAATGACTGCAAACACAGACTCTTGAAATTAAATCTAAATCAGAGCAAAAAGCTACTAGAGCAGCTACGCCACCAAGTGCTCAAAGGAAGTGTTGCTCCTGTTTTTGTTGCCAAAAAACCAAGAAGTTAAAATTAAAAAACTAAATTCAAGTTCTATTTTAAATGTATAAACTAACTTATACTTTTTCTTCTTCCGGCTCTTGGAGGGTGCAGGTGCTTTTTTCCCTCCTCTCCTCCATATCTTATCCTCAAGGCCTCTGTCTTGTCTGTGTGTGCTGGGTGCACGGCTGCTTCTGCATTTTTCTGGAAACTGAAATCACTACAATGGATCTCGTCAGTTGGTCGTGGTGTTGGTGTCAGGTTTCCTGCTGATCGGCCTTGGAGGCTACCTGGCTTACTGGAAAATTAACGAGCTGTCGAGGAATACTGGCCTGATCCCGGAGCTCAGAGATGGTTTGCACCGCGCTGTGAATTCACAGACTCACATAATTGTCGAGATGAATCGTAAGCTTGGAACTTTGGCCGAGATTCATTCATTGGCACAAAAGATGGATGCCATCAAGGAGAGAGTGGACAAATCAGCACGGATTGGGATAGATTAATGTCCATTATTGGGATTCTGAGAGGTTGAGGATAGGGCTGGGCGATATGACGATTTTAGACCGTTTTACGATCTACACATCTGACGGTCTGTCATTTTTGAGAGACCATTTTATCACGATTCACAGCTCTGCTGTTGAATTTCTGCCTCTGAATGAAAAGGGAACTTACCTCAGGTGAATGACACGCCTTTGTTTGACCCTTAACCAATCAGAGTGAGTTATAGTAATATATTAGTGCCCCGCTTGTTTTCATTTGTGTGTGAACAAACATGGCTTCGCCGCGGCTGAGAGAGCGACAACGAGGTTTTCGTTCCGAAGAGGAACGCAGGGTTTCCTTAGCGTGCGGCGCTAACAACTTAGCGACGTGACATGTCTCGGAGAAAGTGTAAAAACACGTTGGACGCTTCTTCTGAAGCAGGAAAATAACACCGCTTCTTAAGCAGAGCTCGACGTCGCCTCGGCTCGTCCACCCTCTGCCGAGCCGGTGTCGGTACTGGACTGAGCTCGGTCACTGGGACGTTGGAGCTGCCCCGTGACTGCCTGATGGAAAACCAGCGGGTTTCATCAGACTCGTAGTTTCTTGTTTTTGTTGGGGACCCCCCTGTAATTTACCGCTCCCTCCTGCAGTCTTCCCCTATTAACATTTAAAATGATTCTGTAAACTCCGTGTATCAGTAGAAACAATCTCTGCCTCTGCCAGCTGCAGTAAATGTAGTCTCCAAATAATAAGAGGTGCATTCATCTGTGTATCTCCTTTGATCCGCATTAGTGATATTCTCAGCACCAGAACAGTGAAGCAAAGAAAGATTCCTGAGTTTGTTAGTAATTTTATTTATTAGGTGCATCTAACCTGTTCTATTTTTCTCTGAAATGAGAACAAATCAGTGCTTCTATGGGTTGTCTCCAATCTGCACTGGAAAATTTTACTTTATTTAGAGACTTGTTGCAGAAAATATTCAGAATGTGCAGTTTTTTGCTACCACAAGCGATCTCTGGTCCAGCCGCACATCAGAGCCTTATTTGAGCTTAACTATCCACTACATGAGCAACTGGGAGCTACACAGTATTTTGAACAAGTTAATGTTTGCACAATACGTTTGCAATTGACATGTTTGCACTTTAAATATGTTTACAATTTTAATATATGTTAAGTAACTTGAAAAACGAGAAAAACTGATTTTTGTAATTGTTTCTCTCAGGGCTTTTATCATCTCTGGTGTGAGTTTAAAATATAAGTGTGTTAGCACTGTGCTGATTATCCCTAATATGAATAAATGTTTATTTATTCAATGTTTCTCTTCTTTAATATGCAATTGAAGTTATGCTATTCATGGATAAAAAATCGTGATAAAATCGAAATCATGATAAGATATTGGAAAAATCGTGATATTCTATTTTTGCCATATCGCCCAGCCCTAGTTGAGGACCAACAAACTGTAAGACAGAGAGGAAATGATCTCTGTCTGGCCCCAAAACTATTTCTAATCGGAATCTGGCGTCCTTGAGCCTGCAAGGCTCCAACGAAAACTCCCCCCTCAGAAGATATGTGGAATGTGCCGTCGCCATGGCAACTAAACTCTGTCTCCTTTCCCAGCCTGGGCGGGACTGCGGGAAGGCCGCTGAAACGTTCCAGGGTCACTGCAACCCTCCAACCCTCAATGCTCCTCCCCTATCCACACTGAGGTGACATGCGCTGCTTATCGTGGCTGCAGGAACTGAAGTGTGGAAAGTCCCAACCCACCACCCCACCTAGTGGACACTTATGTTGTGTGTTGTCTGAAGTCTGTTGCATCTCTGTCTGAGGTGTTTTTTTTGCAGAGCAAAGCTGCCCTCCTGGTGGGAGGGTAACTCTGAAGTGCCTTTTTTTCCCCTCCACCTGAACCAACCCTCATGTAACCCTCTTATCTCTATTAAGGTAGCTCGACTCAGGGTTGCGAATGACCACAGTTGCCAATTCTTGTCATGTGTCTTGCCCATGTATGTCTGATCTCTGAATTGTGTGTACTGAAACTCTAATTTCCCTCTGGGATTAATAAAGTATCTTTGAATTTGATTTGATTAAATTGAGACCTAAGAGAAAATACACAAATATAGATTTGTAATTATAATATATTTTACCTCTTTACTCTAAAACGTATTTTTAATAATGCTAATGTGTTTATCTGTTGTTAACAGAGCTTCGTGTTTAACAGAGACTTGGTCACTTTAAGACTTTAACACATTACCAAATACTTTAATCTGACAGATTGTTCAGAGAACAAGACATATACATTAACATTGCACATTAATATAAAACAGTAGTGTCATAAAAGATTATATACACTGTCCAATAAAAAAGTAACTACAGTTAGTAGCCCAGTAACATGAAGAAAATAATATTTCAGTGTGTTATAAGAAACTACTGAAGCAACGGCAGTAAAAGTTCTAGTTCTATCTTTTGTTAAAGAATAAATAAAATAAGCCACATTTAAGTAAGACACTACCCTGAGAATGTTCAGTCGTTTCCCATCAGCGATTGACTGAATGTAAAGCATGAAAGTGAATGTGTGAAAAGGACGAGCACCTCCAGTCCTTCTACTTGATCCGGATCTCGAAGCAAAGACAGTTGCAGGAGTCACACTCAGGAGGCTGGCAGGTACAAGCACAGTCCATGTTGATGCACTGTGAGGAAACACACGCTCACTTAAAACGCTGGTTTACACTCTTTACCACCAGCTTTTGTCTGACGAACAAACCTTTTTCAGATGAGCAAAAAGCAGCATAAACAAAGTTGCTTTCTAAGGTATTTAACTGCTTCAGGCCTATTTACTGCTCCCACACACATCTGGCTACATCTTTAGACAGGAGTGTCCCCTCGCTCTGCTGGGCAGGAGTAGCTGGATCAAAAGGGGACCTGGCCTTCTCGGTAATGGCTCCAACCCTTTAGAATGAGCTCCCACTGGCAGTACAGCAAGCTCCGTCTCTTCAGGTCTTTGAATCTCCTTTGAAAACCCAGTTTTACTTGCTAGCTTTCCCCCAACACCCTTGAGCCTAGTGCTGTACGATACTGCAAAATTTGGTATCGATCCGATACCAAGTAAATACTGAGGCCAGTATTGCCAATACCGATACCGATACTTTTAACTACTAGTCTAGTACCATCTAGTTTTGTGGGGTTTATTAAGATAAATAAGATCAATAAAACTTGAGTTTTCAGACAAGATTCTCATATTCATCAATCTGAGAATCTTGTCTGAAAACTCAAGTTTTATTGATTACTTAATTATTTTGTAAGTTTTCCTTTAATAAATCATGTGTACGATGATAATAAAATACAGGAAACATTTTCAGGCTAATAAAATTTTTATTAGGAAACTGAAAATGGTTTGAAAATGGTTAACAAACCCAAGATTTTTTTTCTATTGGAAATCTATAAAGCTGTGTAAAAAAAATCCAAACGGCGTTCCTTTTTCGGTCTGACATCACGCATCAGCAGTGCTCTCTGCTGCTCTGTGCTTGTCTCGTGCTGGAGCGCTGTTTTACTTGTTTTAAATGTAACGGCGGACTGCCCCGTTGACTGACATCCGTGGCGTTCCAATCACAGTGCTTTAATGGTGTTTGGGCCAATCACAGCGCTCTTTTAGCGAGGTTGGGTGGATGTCCCTGCAAACAAACATGGCTGCCGCTCGAAACGGTCCAATCACAGGTATCAGCCAGGTAAACTACAAATCAAGACAGCGGCCGGTCAGTAGTGGTCCAATCATAGAGTGCTATAGATTTCATGGACCAATCGCAACACTAAGTAGGCGGGATGTTATTGAAAAAAACAAATGTGACTAGCCGGCGGTCAGCCGCTCGTTTGAAACGGCTTTGGCATCAAGTTTGGACTATTATGACTTTAGCTTTTGTTTGAGTCAAGATCAGATAACGTTTATTTAGGAAAAGGATGTGTTTTGCATCTTCTTTGAGGGAGTTTGGTGGACTGCCTCGTTGACCGACATCTGTGGCGGTGAGTACGTTATGGCTTGCCAGGCTAGAAGAAACTGAATCGATACCATCACGCAGGTATCTAGTAAATACTCAATTCCAATGTTAGGTCGATTCTATCAATATTTTAGATCGATCCGCCCAGCCCTACTGGATGGTTTAAATACATAAAACTCTTTGTTTTTACATTTTTGATAATTAATTTGTTGCTTTAGGAACAGAATAATTCCTGCTAATCCATAGCACAGATTGCATGAACTTCATCTGAACTAATTTACAAAGAACAAATGAGGTATTTTGGCCGACTACATGTTCAAGCCTCTGCTGCCAGAGGAACAGTGTTTTATGTTTACTTACTGATGGTGAGGAGCATGAATTCGGCAGGAAGGAGCGAATGTTTGGCAGCCGGCAGTCACACATTTCAGCCACTCTGAAGCACTGCTCAGAGATGGAGATGCCTGGACAGCAGTTGGCACACTCAAAAGAACAGTAGTCCTGTTGGGAGGAGTCAACATCGATGTGACGACACAGAAATTCGTTCTGATTTCAGTTCTGGAAAATACTTTATTAATTGCAAGGGTAAAAAGTACATTTCAATGTGTTTCAATGTTTGCTATTTGAAAAATGCAAAAACACAAACAACTCACTCCACAAAGTTCTAGATAGGGATGCACCGATCAGGTTTTTTGCTGCCGATCACCGATACCGATCACAGATACCGATCACGTGGATTGGCCAGAAATTTTCTACAACATTATAATGAGTGCTACAAACTACATAATCTGGGAATAAAGGCAATGTAACCTAATCTAAAATGGTCTGATCGGTCTGCTTTGATCTATTTTGAAAACTCCGATCAAAACCGATAGGGGCGCTATCGGCCGATTGGGATCAAATGCCGATCCATCGGCGCATCCCTAGTTCTAGATAAAAACAAAACTATATTGTGCCGCTGTGTCAGATGTTAGTGTGACGTATGGGGCTCAGCAAATCATATGAAGTAGAAAATTCCATTTTTATGGTAACTTTATCACCAGATTCTCTAATCTGTGCTAATTATCAGCTTTCTTTGAATTTTACAAACTGCAGCCTAAAATTCTCAGCTCTCTAACCAGAAAACCAGCCATGAGAACAAACCTTGAGGCAGTATCGGATCCAAAGCCCGAGCCCGAGGACCATCATGTAAAGACCCACAGTGATCATCAGCACTGCTGGAAGAGGGATGGCCAGGCCCCAAATTGGCAAAACCTGAACAGTGGGACAGAGACTTCAGCGCTGCAGGAGAACTCAGATCAAATATGATAACTGTGTAGTTTCTCACCTGCATGCTGTGTCACTGGAGACAAATCTTTAATTGTCGCAACACTCCAGGAAATCTGACCAACAATGAGAGGCAAAACTTAGCTGTTTACAGTTTCCTTTGGTCATTGAGCTCTTTTTGTCTCTTCGCTGTATCTTTCTATTCACAATCATTTAGCCTTTAACTTTTTGTTTCCCCTAAACAACAAGTGTCGAAATAGAATGAAAACTTTTTAAATACTTCGTGACCTGTCTTTTGTTTTTCTTACGTTTTATAATTATACTTTTGATATTTTTTATAATCATACTATGATTTTGTTGAAAAAAGTTAATAGCACAAGTTAATTTAGATCAGCAAACACATGGCTGCTAGCCTAAATTTCTGCAAAGCAAATGGATCAACGTTTTAAAAAACTACATTTCATCACACTGGTGGTTCATTGTTGAATCTCGCCTGCATCTAACAGTCCATGGCTGCTTCTCTTCACTTCCTGACACTTTATTTTGTCCACTTTTTCTCTTACTGGCTCACATTGAACTTGTAACGCTACAAATCAATCAGTTTTGTGGCTGGTTTAGGTTTGTGCTTTAATAATGAGGTATTTCATCTTGGTTAGATTAACGGTAATAAAGACAACATTCCTATCAGAATTGGACGACAGCTTTAACGTTACGGTAAGAGTTTACCGTTATTACAACTAAAAAACCACTGATGGTAGCGTTTGTGTTTGAATACAGCAGCTAGGACCCGTGTTACAGCACAGCTAACAACTTACCGCTTACTGAGCTTCATTGGAATGGGAATAAAACATGTAAACTCTAGAAAGTCTGATGTGAAGTCGCATCTTCCTCCTGTCATCGTTAATCGTCGAGGATACGCAGTTTCATTCCGAGCTACGATCGCAGTGGCGGGAGCGGGAGGAGCTGCGTTGTCTGGGAGACAGACGGGTGCCCGGCAGGCCCTAAAAAGCGAAGGTGGCTTTAATGAGATCATTTAAAAATCAGAATCAGAAGGGTTTTATTACCATATGTGTGTGAGAATCACAACATTAGGAAATTGCTGCGGTACTTGGTGCAATAAAAGGAAGATAAAAATAAGAAAAAATTGGAAGTAAGAAAATAATCATGATAAAATAATAATAAAAAGTGGAAATACTTAGATCAACGGCTACTATATACAAGACAGTGTAGGTACTAATCAGAGCGGATCAGTTCAGGTCGATGGTTCAGGTCCAAATACTGCAGGATCAGGTGACTGGGACCAAGCGACTGGAGTGGGCAGCCCTAGGATTGTCGTTCATGAGTCCAACAGCAGAGGGGAAGAAACTGTTCTTGTAGCGAGAGGGTCTGGTCCGAATGGATCTGAGCCTCCTGCCAGATGGGAGCAAGTCCAAAAGACTGTGTCCAGGGTTAGACGGGTCAGCTTTGATCCGACCTCCATGCCTCAATGTCCTGGAGGTGTACAGGTCCTGTATAGAGGGGAGTTTGCAACCAATGACCTTCTCAGCAGAGCATGCAACACATTGCAGCTTCTTCTTGTCCCTGATGGTAGCTCCAGCATACCACACAGCGATTGAAGAGGCGAGCATGGACTCGATGACTGCAGCGTAGAACTGCCTCAACTATACTACTGATAGATTGAGCATCATCAACAGACCTGTTGGCTCTATAGGCAAACTGCAGGGGGTTCAGAAGGGGGACTGTGAGTCTTGAGGTGGGGGAGAACCAGGTGCTCAAATAACTTCATGACTACAGATGTCAGAGCCACAGGTCTGTAGTCATTGAGTACAGTGATCCTTGGTTTCTTGGGGACAGGGACTATGGTGGAGATGTTGAAGCAGGCAAGCACATGAGATGCCTCCAGTGAGTTGAAAATTTGACAAGTGTATACTACTATAACCTAAAATAAAACTTCATATGTAAGTTTTTTATTAAGATAAAAAAAACATGCAGAGATTTTGTTTGATCTTTAGCAAATGACAACTTATGTGTCATAGGTGTCTATTTCTCATAAAGAGATCAGAAAAGTCTACGTGAGCATGTGGTTTTGTGTTAAGTATTCTACTTTGTAGTACCCACATTGTGTCTGAAATGTAACATAAAATTTGATTGGAAGAATCTGACAAAAACATTTAATCAAGTCATTTAACAAAGTGATGTTTTACTAGTGTCCAGAAGTAAATATATACTTTAAACATGACATTAGGTGGAATCCAGATGCTTTCCAACTATTTGATTTCGAGACAACTAAACACATCCTCAAAGTAAAACCACCCACACAGGACAAGTTTATCAACTGCACAAGTTTTATTGAACCAAATGATGATTGCTAAACTGTCCATTTTGTTAGCATGGCTTTGACTTGTTATACTTCTGCATAACTGTTTATAAATTATTGCATCTCAGGACATATATGAGGTGTCCACAAGCATGTGTAGAATACCAGATGTGTTATGGGATCAAACCAGAAAGCTGGTCAAGCACCAGAGAAGTCAACTTGTTAAATAAATCTCAACTTTACTAACTCCTTTCCAACACCTGGTGCAACCTCATCTCACACAGTGAAATGGCTCAGCTTTCAATACAGGCTGCTTTAAATAAAGTAAAATCAACAAAAGATGCCCAAGTTAATGATTTCAAATACTTCCTACCAGCTAAAAACCCTTTCTGCACTTGAACTTAAACATCTTGCATCTCTTCCATCTGCAGTCCTTTAACCAACACACTAAAACACATTTGACCCTCCAGCATCCAGCTACCACCCCCATTCCCCATGACAACACTCCACTTCGTTCTATGGAGACTCATCGTTTTATTGAAACACCTTTGAGTACAAAATAAAAATGTTACATGAAAAGGCGCCTCCTTTTGTGGCACAAGGCCTAAAAATAAAATACAAAAAGCAAAACAAGTGGGACATGAAAGGAGGAAGTGTGTGTTGGAGGGTCATCACCACTCATCCCTGTTATGTAGAACTGCAGTGGTGTGTCTTTGTGAGAGCGAGCCTGCCCCCCGGTGATATAGGGGGATGGTGATGTCACAGAGTCCCATGATATTTAGAGGTAATTCACGTGTTAGCCAACAGCTGGTGGGGCTGCAAAGGGGAGAGAGGAAGGAGGAAGAAAACAGCAGCACATAGAGAAGGGGCGGGGTGCTTGACGGCCTTCCAGGAGAGAAGGGGAAAGGGCTGCTGGCAGCTTCTAAAAGCCGTGGACTTTGAGTTGCTCCTCCTTGGCCAGGTCAATCTGCAAAACAACAAGAAAACAAATCTTACTAAATCCATGCTGCTCACAACACTTTAAATCTCTCTCTATAAACTGCAACCTACCTCAATCAAAAACTGACAGATATTCTTTCGCTGGTCTCCCTGAAGTTGGATCACTTCACCATACTCTGGGTGCTCTATCACAGTCCCATTGCAGGCAAATTTCTGTTTTAAAAAGGTGAACCAATTGTCAAAAAGGAACATTCACCCATTTTGGAGAGGAGTTTAGGGATTGTGCTAATGCTGATCTGATCAGCTGTTACCTTTTTAAAGGCCTTGACTAGCTTCTTCTTATCATAGTCGGTCGCGATGCCCTGGACTGTGGTGAGGGTCTTCCTGCCGTTCCGCTGTTGGATTCTTATGTGGATGTAGTCCTCTGTCCCGGCTGGGAGGCGGTCATCACCCTTAGTTGCATCAGCAAAGGGGTCTGGAGGAGAGGACAGAGTTATAAAAGGAACGGATTGAGCCAATTCCACCTTCTTCGATAAGAAACGGTCGAATCAGCCCTTCTGGTGTCTTGTTGTATTTGGAGGATGAGGGGTCGTATTTCAAACGAAGTGCGCAGAAGGCCAAAAATACAAATCCGTCTAGCGACACTTATCCTTTAACAACAAACAGCAGCACAAAGATGACGCACTGAAACAAACATTTTCCTAACGAAATATAAATATATCTTATTTGTTTCTCACACACCGCTTCTTTTAGCAAAGCTAACCGCTGTTAGCAGTACCGAGGCCTAATGGCGGATGTGAAGTGGAGGCCTCAAAATTGAGTAAAGCAGTCAGACACGCCTGACACGTTTATTACAAGCTAGGGTGTGACGTGAGACACATCTAATGAGGAAAGACAAAGTTGTAATAAAACACTTAATCGTGCGTTAAAAGAACAAAAAGCTCGACGCAAAGCTCGACTAGCTCTCGCCCTTCCCCCACCCCGCGTTGCGCTTTAACGTCGAACAAAACCACTCACCAAAGGTTTGGAGGTTCTGGATAGCGGACATACGATAAGATTGGCTTTCCTTTCGGATAATAACTTGGTTAGCAAGCAGTTCGTCGGTTGACTTCGACTTGTTTTTTTGTATTCTTGTAGGTCTAGCCTTGTACTTAAAACTCCGACCGACTCCGCTCAGCAGCTCTCACCAAATGGAGATCTTGGAGCTCGAAAACAAGGTTTTATAGTCCCGCCCCAAAACTGACGTCGATACGTAATTGACGTAGAGCTGGCGAGTCACGCCCTGAAATGTTTAGTTCTCAACCTGTTCTCTACTTTACTGGAAAGGTGACGTCATGTTCAAAATAAAACTAAACCGTCCACGCAACGGTAAAAATGCAAAAACACAACGAATATATATTTTTTATTTCAAAGTGGTATTATAATATACTAAAATACTACAAAAAGGTTATTTTATTTTAAATTACGAGGTTGGACATTCAAGACAGCAAAAAGAGATCTATAAAAATCTGTCATTTATTACAAATTCTGGTCAGTTAACTTCCGAGTGTAGAATTTTATTCATATTATTTATTTTAAGTGAATAGGAATGGGCAGTTTTTGCCACCCCATGTAGATGCTTTGAATTATTTGAAGATCAATTACCTATTTTTGATCTATTGTAGACAGCTGTTGTGTAGAAACATAAAATATTATAAAGATCCCTAAATTGGCATAAAGTGTTCAATATGCTGATATTAATGTCAAATACTGTGTGGACTTGCATGCCAAAAGAAATGCTTGAATTCAAACCTACATAAAGTATTCCATAAGTATACATAACTGTTTAGCGTTACATCTGAACTCAGTTTTTCCAACTTCTTGAAATAATTCAATCACAAATAGTTCATATTTACTGTCTCCTAACAGCTGAAAACAGAGTAAATGAGAATTAGTTGATCCTTAAATATCTAAGACAGCTCTAATAGCATTAGACATTTAAAAAAACATTGTAGTCTTTAAACTTTATTACATTTCATTATACTCTGTGACAGTGAAATATACATATTCATTTCTTAAGACCTATAGATCAGCTGGAATATCTGCACAAGAAATTTTTCTATTTTAGTCTGAAAGGAAGGGAATTCAAGTTAAGATTCAGTCAATGCACCACTGTCATAGATTAGGCAGATGGACCTCACGGCACATCAAATGCGGAAAGACAACCTCAAAACTTCACGTTTTCTAGTTCTGTTGGTTTTTATTCTTATCTAACAGACAGAATAGCAAAGTTTTACCTTATTTAACAGTTTTGGCTGCTTCCTGTGTCAAAGGTGACTGACAGTAACCAAAGCTGTTAGCAAAATAAGGTAAAAACTTTGTTAGTCTGTGTTTTAGACAAGAACAGAAAACCAATGGAACCTCAAAACTTACAGAAGATGACACCCTACGTGTTTTAATTGCTTCATGTCAGTCTGTAGTTTATTCTGTTAAAATGACACACGTATTTTTATAAAAACATTTTTGCAATGTAGCTAGTTATGTTTATATATTTTTGCTCATTCTGCATTTTTTGCGCTTTGCTGATTAAACCAGAGCAATGTCATACTTATACAGTATTTAGCAGAGATGACAATAAAGTTTACTTTGACTTGATTTTCCCAACCTAACCTCTCTCATCTCGAAAACTTCCTTGTCTTTCTAGACAGAAGCCAACAGCTGTTACACCAGCAAATTACAATAGTCCAAAAATGTTATCGTGAGAAATTGTATCTGTAAAATGCCCTTTTGTTGTCGTCTGGATTATATTTAAATGCTTTGTAAAATAAGACTGAAATACAAATGAGATTAAAGTCCCATTAGTCATCATCACACACTGGGGAAATTACATCACCTCATCATCCTCGTGGGGAGTGGCGAGCTGCAGCAGTGGCTGCGCTCGGGAACTATTTGGTGGTTTTAAAATCCAGTTTTAGCTGAAATGGAGAAAACAAAATGACCCTACTAGGCCTCATGGGGCACAGATCTTAATTTTGTAGCCGCAGGTGTTTGGTTATATTTTATAAATCTCTCATAAAAATTCCATATTTCCTTTTCTTACATTCTCTTCACAACTGCAGGTCTTGGGGGTGTGGGGAGCATTAGGGAATCTGTTTCTCAGGCATTCACTCCCAGTTTGCAGATGAGCTCAGTCTGTCTTCACAATACATTCACATACAGCAAATAAGTAATTACAGGTAATAGTTAATGCCGCAATACTGCAGAGCTTTAAATGTCAAGCAGGTCTGGATCTTCCATTATAGTTTCATGCCTCTTTGGTCAAATATTCAATAAAATGAAGAAAAAAGTTAATTATGATAAATCTGCTTGGTGTCCATCATCACTGTTTTCACAACAAATTATGTCTTTAGATGTTTCTTTTCCAGATTCACATGCAGTTTTTTCCAGAGCAGGCTCCTTCTGAGCCTTCCTCCATTCTCTTCCACGTAAACCTTGTTTGTTTAAACACCGCTGCACAGTAGACTTATGCACCAGCACTCCCACATCAGCCAGTCCTTCCTGTAGGTTCTTTACTGTCATGTGGGGGTTCTCTGTTGCCTTTCTACCCAGAAGATGAGCTGTTTGCTCTGAAATTTTCCTTGGTCTTCCAGATCTCGCCTTGACCTCCACAGATCCTGTTGATTTCCACTTCCTGATGACATTCCGAATGGTGGAAACTGAAAATCCAAAACGTTTTGATATCTTCTTATAGCCTTTTCCACCTTTGTAGGCATCAACAAGCTTCATTTTTAGGTCGTGGCTCAGTTCAATAGATGAGCCCATCACCGCACTGGCCAAATGAATGAACTTTTATCTGGAGGTAGAAAACACACGCTTTAATCACCAGCCATTCAACTAAAAAATATGGAATCATTTGAAAACTGGATTCATAACATTTGCTCAAAATTCCCAAAATAACAAAAATAAATAAATAAATAAATAAATAAATAAATAAATAAATAAATAAATAAATAAATAAATAAATAACAATTAAACAAATCCCTTAATCAGAAGATAACAAGGGAGTGAGATGTTAAAATATAATTGAACTCAAGAGTGGGACAGAAAATGTTGGTTGGTGAGATTAATCTAAAAATCTGAATGCTCAAGTCTTAAAAGGAAACATCCATGTGGACAAAGCAAGATGTAAAAGGTAACACGACTCGGGTTGCGAATGACCACAGTCACCAATTCTTGTAGAATTGTGTGTACTGAAACTCTAATTTCCCTCTGGGATTAATAAAGTATCTTTGAATTGAATTGAAAAGCATCAGGACATAAAGACTAAAAGCAACAGAACATGCAATAAATAAACCTAAATCAAAATCAAACAAAGCTAAATGAACATTTCACTTCCTTTTCCTCTATTACTGTGCTTACCTTCAGGTAAAGATTTAATCACACTTTTGAAAAATCCAAATCCTTGAGAATAACCACAATGAAATTATTTTTCAAGGATTTCAAGCACCTCTAAGAACAATGCTAAACAACCTTGACTCTATTCTATTTTTCACTTCAACAAACACTCAAATCTCTACAAGTCAATAAATTACCTCTCCTTGGGAAACCAGCGTTCGGTACTGCTGGTCAACAGTGCTGGTGTTAAAAAAAGGCACGCTGACATGTTGTGGATGAACGCTGGAACGACAGGGCCTGATCCCATCCTGTATCAGCACAACACACAAAAGGAACACAAATCACGCCTCCTCCCGCACATGTCACATCCTGTCTTCTGGGTGTGAGTAGAGCCTCCTGGTGGTCTGCCTCTTTCTACAGTCACTGGTCGGTATGCCCAGACAACCTGTGCACAAGCGCTGCCCATTTATGTTTGTGTATCTGCCGTAGTGGCCGGTCGCCATCTTAGATGGGTCTCCATTCACCCTCAGTGCATTAATTTCTACTGAGGAATGTGCTTAGTAGTGACTGTGGAAAAAGTGATTACCCAACTAAAAATCACATGCTATCAAGTTTATAAAATATATCAGACACATGGTATAACATTATAATTAAAATGTAAATATAGTTTAACAAAATAAAATATAAAATCCCATCAGGTAGGCTAGAAAAGTAAATAGTATTCCCACGTCATCTGTTTTCAACAGTATGCCGGTTGTTGCAACGGTAGGCTGCAAAAAAAAAAAAAAAAAAAAAAAAAAAAAAAAAAAAAAACGGACCCACTCTTTGGACAGTGAGGAAACCCATCCAATATGGCGGTGTCGCTGTTATGCTCCTGCGGTTATGGTCATGTTTACGGGTCTGCCACGCTCCAGTACGACCTTGTGTTGTACGGTGAATGGTTGTTACGTAGAATTATTATGTACAATACGCCTTTCGTGCTACGTTGAATGACTCGGGGAGCACTTTTGTTTCAGTCTCAGAGGCTTTTTCTAGAGCATAGTAGTATTCTACAAAGTAGAATTGTTTCAGAAACAATAAACAAACATACTTTAAAAAGTTTCGTGTCCTGAGTATATTAAATGTAGTAAGTGTCATTAAAACAATAATATTTCCAGTGTTTGGATACAATTGATAATGCGATCTAATAATTTGATAAATGTTTATAATGGTTATATAAATACATTTTGACATAAGTTGTGCATTGATAAGAATCATATTATCGCGAGTTTTTCGTGACGCGTTTTGACCGGAAATGGTTGCGTTTTCCTTTCGGCATTTGTTAGCTTATTAGTTTAGACGGTTGGTTATATCTCGAAGCTCTAAAGTTTGCATCAGTTTGATACTAAAATGGTTGAGGTGTATGTTATATTTTAAACAGGTAACGCACTTAAAGCTCAAAGCACTTTAAGTAACACAAACATGTTAAAATGGCTAGCTTGGCTAGCTTGTTCCTGGTGCGCGCAGCGTTGATCAGCTGATTCATTCACATGACTACTTGTCTGTCCGGTCCTGAAAATCTTTCGTTCACATCAGGAAGACGCTCCCATTAAGTAGCTTTAGGAATTGTTTTGGAGATGATAAATGGCCAAGGAAATTAGATTTTTGATACGAAACAAACTAGGCAGCTGAAACCACAGTGAGAAGCAGCTACGAGGTTAGCCAAACGTCCTCAGTGTTGTCGGTGAGTTATTTATTCTTGCTAATTTAGTTACTTTCGTATTTTTTACATGACTTCTCACTCTCCTGCTTCTGTCTGAAGCAATAAGAACACCAGATTTTTTTTAACTGGTGAAAGAAGAGCTCATTAGCCATTTTTGTTAATCATAAATGATGATGGCGTTCTGTAACGTCCAAATAATGACATAATTTGTGGTATTGTGTTGTATGTCAATGGTGTGAAACGTCCCGCTTGTGAGTTAGTCATAAAACAACAGTTTTGTCAGTGTTTGGTTTTGATTTTTGCTTAGTCATTCAAATTTCCTCAAAACGAACTCTTGATCTGCATTTCCCTCCTCCTCCTCCTGCTCATGTTTTATTGTTTCTTTTTATGCATTTATCTAAAAGAAATTCAAGAAATTCTCCAAGATGGATCCAGAGAGGAAGAAGCTTTTAAACATCATCATCCTCGGATTTGGCTTTATGTTCATGTTCACTGCCTTTCAGACATGTGGGAATATAGAGGTGGGCTGGATTTCCTGACGTCCAATCTGGATAAAATACAAATACTCTGACGGATGATCCTACATTTAAGTATGTTTTGTTTGCAGCAAACGGTTATAAAAAGCTTCAACAGCACAGAGTTTCATGGGAGTGGATATACCAGGTAAAGTTAGGAGGTGGACGCTTATTTTTTATTAATAATATGTCATTATTCTACTTTCCTTGTCTGACTTTGTAGATTTGACCCTAATTGATGAATTGTGTTAATGAAATCTCTGAGATTAAACCATTCCAGTGGTCCAAGATGTTATTATCATTTTTAATAAACTTTCAACACGACCATAATAAAAAATGCCACACTAGTCTCCGTGTGTTAGCTAAACATAGTTTGTGAACCATTTTTGCAGCATGGCTATCATCTATGGAGTTTTCTCTGCATCCAACCTAATCGCCCCCTCCGTGGTGACTGTTATCGGGCCTCAGGTCTCCATGTTCGTTAGTGGCCTTTTGTACAGGTGCGTCTCTTCCCACTGACGCGTCTGAATCATATTGTGTTATTTCAGACTCTTGAAATATGTTTACATGTGGGGTTTTTTTGTGTGTTTTTACAGCGCTTACATCGCTGTGTTCATCAACCCGTTCACATGGAGCTTTTACACAGCATCAGTGTTGGTCGGGATAGCAGCGGCAGGTAGGGAAGTGAGATGCCAAAAACATTTCTACCACTTTCGCTTTTTGGTATTGATCCTTTGATTCGTGTTGTTTAGTTCTCTGGACGGCTCAGGGAAACGTGCTCACCATCAACTCCACTGACAGCACCATTGGCAGAAACAGCGGCATATTTTGGTCTCTGATGCAGTTCAGGTAAATTCACCTCGGATGTGGCTTCATTCTGCGTCCCTTTTTACTGGATTAAGATGTTACTTGTTGACTTCATGAAATGTGCTCATCAGGATAAAAGGGGTATGGTTTAGGCCCCATTTGGCCTGTGGGTTTTTAAAATCATTGCCTAAAATCCGATCCATCAATTAAAAATATTCTGAAACAAAGAAGAAATATTCAAGGTGCAGAAATTTCAGACATGTAAATCATCTTAAATACAACTCAGAGTAAACTGGTTGCAATTAATTTGAGTTAGATTTTGTTCAGATGGTAAGAATATGTTTGAATATTAATTTTTTTTTTTTTTGCTTCTTTTGTTTTCAGTTTATTCTTTGGTAACCTGTACATCTACTGTGCCTGGCACGGACATGTGCACATCACTGGTATGACTCCAGCTGCTCCTAAACTAATCTCTGCCTTGCTGTTTTTAGAATTGTATGCTTGTGCTGATTCACTAGAAAGCTTATTTAGGCATCTGACTCATGTTGTCTGGCTCAGACAAGGACCGCCGGACGGTGTTCATCTCTCTAACGGTGATCAGTTTAGTCGGCTGTTTCCTTTTCTTCCTGATCCGGAAGCCTGACCCGGAATCTTCATCTCGTTCTGAGGTGACTGAGTCGCTGCTGCAGACGGACTCCAACGATGCCTCCATACTCAGGTGAGGCACAGGATGTCACGTGTGACAACCCTTGTTTACTCTGGGTCAGATTCTGGAAAGTATCTGCACAGAAACAAAATAAAACCCCTAAAACTTTCTGGCTAGGATCATTTTCCTGAACTGGGAACAGATTAGAAAAGTTCTTGAGGATGTTATTGGAGTTTTGTTTTTTTCCATTTAAAAAGCTGAGCCAACACAGAACTCAATTCAGACCATGGAGGCAGATAAAGGACACAGAGCAGAAACTCAAAATCAAACGTATTTCATTCAGATGCAGGTAAAACTTTAATGTTGCAACTAGAGGTAGTCCGACAAATATAACAGACTGATATTTACCGCCATTTATACGTTGGCACCAGCCAATATTTGCCCTTAGTAAAGCCGTTTTAAAGCCAGGCACATCCTTGGGCAGTCCGCTGCTGTAGAAGAAGAAGAAGAAGAAAATATCATTTCTATAACGCCTCTCAAGATAAAAATCACGAGGCGCTTCACAAAAACAAAAAATGTAAAAATATAAAAAATAATTTAGAAAATGGTTAACAATATATTTCAAATGATCAAAAATGGACAATTGTGATTAAAAATGTAAAGAAAGGGAGAGAGTGATTAGGAAAGAGGAAAATCAGTGGATCCTGAGGAAGGTGGAATCCACTGTAGCAGAATTTAAATGTTTTTTTAATATTCCCTAATACCCATCTGCGTAATAAATCATCTAAATTATTTGTATTTTGGTGTCTGACTTAACTAAAGCTTGGTTTATGCTTGACGCGTTTGCTCTCCACTTGGTGATGCGGCTCGCGGATGGAACGCGTTTCACAACTCGCAGCGTTTATGGTTCATGCGGCTTGTCTCTGCGGCGAGCCAATATTCTCCCAAACTGTAGGGGGCAGCATGGAGCTCTACGGCATGCATCCAACACTACACCATGGTAGAAGTAAAAATTACTGTTGTTTACAACATGGCATTCCAGCATTTTTTAACAGCGTCCTCGTCTTTTCCGACAGTGCGAGCTATTTTTCTCCAAGAATTATTAACAACATGTTGATCACGGTGATCTCTGAGAGCTGAATCATACAGATGTCTGTATTTACGAACCTCTGCCATACTAGTTCTTGCCTGTCCGCCATGTTTTTACGCGTCCGACTGTCCGCGTGGTTAGAAAATTTCCTAGGTGCGCGGTGCGGAAAGTTTGGGCCGTGCAGAGTCGCGGTGGAGGGGCGTGGTTGTTAAAATGACGCAATTTTGCCACGCGAACCTCGCAGACGCATCAAGCATAAACCAAGCTTAAGCAGTGCACAAAGTTAAGTTCAGAGTTCAAAATGGATGTAATTAGTGACATTTTAGCATGAAAATAAGATGGAAAACATCTGGATACTGGCCATGAAAATTGGCCCATAAAAATTGGCAGTATCGGCAACAGAAAAACCAATATTGATCGACCTCTAATTGTGACAACTTGACTTTTACGTTTCACAATATTAGTTTTTAATATGAAGGTGAAACCATCTCATCAGATGTTTGTTGTAGCTCCAAGATAAAGTTGATGCAATCAGGTCTGTGCTTTATTCACCAGAGAGCTGGTTTCTGTGTTGGTCACAGCACAGCTTCACCCACAGCACACCACTTTTGATATCTCACATCTGCTTTTGGCGTTGGTGATTTAGTTCAGTTTGCAGTTTGCTTTTCAGCTTCTGCAGGATCACCAGAGTCCATCTCACCTAAATGTAAAACTAGTCTGTGGGTTCTGGTGATGATGTCTTTATTCCTGTAGAGATTCAAGGAAGTGAGGATAAATGTTACATAAGGTTTAATCCGGTGTGACTGAAAGGAAACTAAAACAAAATCACATAAAACTTCATTCCAGATGTGTTTAACGCCCGGTGGAACAAAATCGTGTTTCTGAAAAAGATCTAAAACTCCAGTTTCATTTATAAACTGATAAAAAAAAATGTAATAAGTATAGATACATTTAATTACATTTCATTATTTTATTGAATACAACAAAAACCTCAGTTAGACATTAAAATCTTGAATTCCTGCCTTGAAGCTGGTCTCTTTAAGACGTGTCGAGTTCAGACTCGCTGCTGACTTTTGGCAGACGTCTGTTCTCAGGCGACCTGAAACCTTTGCGCTTCTGGTGTGTTTTAAACAAGACCTCTCCATTTACTGTGATGAGTAGACGAGGAGATCCTTTCCCGGAAGACGGATTGGAGTCGTGCAGAGCGGGACAGAACACGACCAGACAGGCGACCTTTCTTTGTAAACACCATCCTTTGTTGCCTTTTCTACATTCGTCTTCAAAACCACTGTAATACAGTTGCCACGGCGACTGAGACTGGCTTAGGGATGAGATGAGAAGGTGAAAGTGACAACAGAACATGTGGATTGTCTAAATAGCTGTTGGGGGGGGGGGGGGGGGGGTATTGCAGAAATGTTGATGTAGTCTTTCTAAAGAATGTCTCATCTTTGTTTTTGTTTTTTCTTTCCTGCCTGCAGCGCGTCTCACTCCAGCCTCTGTTCGAAGGCTCTGGACGCGTTTAGTAAGCTCATTCACAACATTATTTTTACTAATAAAACATCTTGATGTTCAGTTCTTTAGCTTGTGCTCCTCTGTTTCCAGTCAAAGCCTGTAAAATGTTTGTCACCAAAGAAATGCTGCTGCTGAGCGTCTCCATAGGATACTCTGGTGGGTGAAATCAAAGCCCCTTTAGCATCTGTTACTTTTTAATCCTCATGCTAGTTTTATCTGTGTTTACATGACATCTTTGATCAGCCCTTGTTGTTTTTAATGGTGATAACCTAGAATGGAGTGGGAAAACCACAGTTCTGGGGGATTTGGACTTGTGGTAAACCGGTTACGTGTGTGTCTTCAGATGAGTTGGTTTCCTGTTTTCAAACTAATTGATATAATTAATTTAGTTTTTATAAAGGTTTTTTAAAATGTTAACTGCCTGCCCAGTAACCAGAGAATTGCGGGATCGAACTCCGTCTGTCATTGTGTCCTTGGGCAAGACACTTCACCCACCTCGTCTGCTGGTGGTGGTCGGAGGGACCGGTGGTGCCAGTGTACGCTAGCCTTGCTTCTGCCCGAGTGCCCTAGGGCAGCTGTGGTTACAGTGTAGCTCAACACCACCGGCGTCTGAATGGATGAATGACTGATTGTGTTGTAAAGTGCCTTGGGGGGTTGTAGAACCCTAGAAGGCGCTATATCGGATACCGTTTGTTTTCCTGCTTCTGGGTGGTTTCAGGAGGGGTGGGCCAGTCTCTGATGAGGATATTTAGTATCTAAAAGGTTCCAGCTAGTGTAAGTAATCCTCTGCTCCGCGGCAGGCCTGGAACTCACCTTCTACAGCGGGGTATACGGGACGTGTATCGGAGCCATGACGAGCTTTGGTACCGATGCAAAGAGTCTAATTGGGATATCTGGGATTTGCATCGGCATCGGCGAGATCTTAGGTGAGTCGTCTTTCATTTGTTGTGCCGTTGGCCCTGTCGACGATTCATCCTGTTTCCTGTCTGCTCTCTGGCCAGGAGGGGGCGTCTTTGGGATGCTGAACAAAAACCACCGTTTTGGCAGGAATCCTGTGGTTCTGCTGGGACTCATCACTCACTTTGTTGCGTTTTTTCTAATTTTCCTCAACATTGCCAGTGATGCTCCCATTGCTCCAGAGCGGGGAACAGATCTAGAGGCTTTCATCAGCCCCAGGTAAAGACCCCCCCCAAAGAGCGTCTGTGCAGACTGAGACAGCGGTTATTAATCAAGTTACTGCATCACTCTTTATTTTAATGTTCTGCTGCTGAAGCTGGTTAGTGAAGAAGAGACTGTTCTAATAAGAGGATGGGATGTTTCCTTTTTTTCTGTTTCAGTGTTGGGGTGGCGCTGCTCTGCAGCTTCCTCCTTGGCCTGGGCGACAGCTGCTTCAACACGCAGCTCCTGAGCATCATAGGGTTTGTGTTCCATGACAACAGCGCTCCCGCCTTCGCCGTCTTCAAGTTCATCCAGGTGAGGATTACAGCAGCAGCCGCTCTTTTCTTCACGTCGAGCTCGATTAACAAGTTGTTCTCTCTGCAGTCCATCACGGCCGCTCTGGCCTTCTACTACAGTAACTACCTGCTGCTCCACTGGCAGCTGCTCATCCTCATCGTTGTCGGGTTTCTGGGAACCATCTCTTTTTTTGCAGCTGAGTGGAGGGCCGAGTCCATCAGGCGGGACTCGGACTATGGTAGCATCTGAACCAGGATGAAGAAGGAACATCTGGAAGTGCTTTGCTCCCACAGCTGGATAAAGCAATGCGAACAGGGCTGTCACGTGGAAGACTGATGCTGTGGTACGTTTAGTTTTTACTGAGCTGCCCAGTTTATTAGTGGTTTATTTATCCTGATGAAACCAGAGAGCTGAAGGAGGAGGTGTGTCCTCAGCAGATGTACCTTGTTCGGTTTCATGCCCAACTTCTTCCCTTTTTTCCTTTTACACAGTTTTATTATCACTTAATTATTTGAAACTCGTTTGCTTGAAATGGTGGAGGATAAAGTGTCGAGCACTATTGATTAGAAGCTAATGAAATGGATCTGCTGCAGGTATATGAGAGAATAACGGGTTGTCTATGTCCAGCTGCTCTGGGTGCATGCGAGGACTTTGGTTTGACTCTGGAGATAAACTCTAAATGCGATCAAGAGCACAAATCCATTAAAAGACCAAATAATTACGAGTATTTCTTTTGAGCAGTAGCTGTAAATACAACACTAATACACACAGAACCGTGCAGAGGTCCTGATTCAGCTCTGCTTTTTGCTCTGTTTGAAAAGGAGCTCTCATCAGAAAGTGGTCAGGTGCAAGGAGTGGCGCTGAGTGAACGTATTAACACATTTTCATTTGGACTTGCTTGTTTCATGAAGACTTATAACTTCTGATCTTGTGTCCTGAATAACTGAGAATCTCCAGACATTTTTAAAGACCTTCAGAAAGGGGAGAATCGATCAAGACCTCTTTAAAACTCAGGCTGCTTGGAAGAAAAACGTAAAGACAGAAGGACGGGATCAGGATTGAATTGGCCCTATAGACGTCTGTTTAAAATCACTCAGAAAACATCTAGGTGCTTTATGGGTAAATCACACGCACGCACACACACACACATGTACGCATGCACACACACACCATTTGCTCTTAAACTGTTGAAGCTATAATTATATTTTTGTTGAAGAGAGAAGACCAGAAACAATCCAGACTTCTAAAGTAAGACACACAGACGTAACCGAACGCTGACACTGAGCCCCTCCAGGGTCAATGACCTCGTCATGACGCAGATGTGAGGTTTTCTTCGACAGAAATCCAGTTTAAAGGGAAACCTGGTTTCAAACCTGAAGTCTTTGGGAAATTCCTGTTCACACGTTTACCTGACTGGTTTAGCTGCAACTAGAACCAGATCTCATTACCTATAAACCGTCTCTGCGTTCCAGTGATTGTCTCATTATTACTTTTGTCTCACTGCGTTTAGCTCTGGTAGCAGGAGGTTGTTTGTGGATGAAGGAACATGAACATCTTTCTTTGTTCTTCAACCTTTTCTCACCTCAAACAATCCAACAGGGAATGTTTTAGGAAACTTTTTTTGATGCGTTTCTGGCAACAGTGAGACGGCGGGATGAAAACTCAGATATCTGAGAGTAAATCAGCTGTTTTTGACTCAAAGAACGATAATGATGTTGAAAACAGAAACAGCATTTAGGACTAGTTTAAAGAAAGCTGTCAGATATGACCCACAGACCATTTGGAAAAGTCTCCTGCAAACACAAGGTGCTTTCTTAGAAAACACTTAAAGCCGTATGTGTCACTGAGAGCATGTTTCTTATTAAAGCCTAAATCTGCTGACAGAATGTATTTGTGTTTGGTCAGAAGAAGGTCAACTCATTAAATGAAACTGAGTTCTGGTACTTTAGTCAAACATAAGTAATAAAACTGTTATTTTTTTCTTGCCTGTCTTTAAATATGTTGCACATTGAACAAACTTAAAAACTGAGGCTGCAGACTTCAATCAATCAGATGAAGTAAAACTAAACTGATCTGAATCAAAGCAGCACAATAGTTTAAGTTTATTACTCTGAAAGTGACATGCGTTCTTTTGATGTTCTTGTTGATTTTGCTTAATGTTATTATGGGAATAACTGCAATCAAGGATGTCAAGGGAAATAATCCACAAAGGTGATTTTTATTTTATACTTGAATATGGTAATTAAGAATCGAAATCGACATTCCACTGCTTGTTTTTTTTATCAATAAATCATTATTTTGAGCCTTAGCTGTGTGTTTTATCTTTTTATGTATTTGCTTGACACACTGGTGCAAAAGTGACTGATGAAGGGTGAATAGATTACTTTAAAAGGTTGACATGATTAAATTTAAATTAACTTTTATTACTGAGCTCTTCCTGATTAAAGCAAAACAGGACAGGAAAGGAACTAAACAACACAGATGGCATTTTACACAGTTCTAAAACAAGTAAAGCAAAAAACTAAAAAAATTATATATTAGGGCTCAATCAATCAATCAATCAAAGCTTTATTTATAAAGCGCCTTCCGCAACCCTGTCAGGAAGCCTAAAGCGCTGAACATGGTATAGTTGTAGGTAAATAAATTGAGTAAATCAACAATAAAAGCAATTCAAATTACAAAATAGAAATTGCAAGATAGATGAAACATTCTGGTAAATGTGTGAAACACATTTGGATTGAGTGGATGGATAGAGTGAACCAATGAAAACTGAGATAAAATCAACATAAAAGAGGGCCATAATCAAGCATGTTCTGGAAACGCCAAGCGGAGGAGGTGTGTTTTTAGGTGACTCTTAAAGACTGGCAGAGATGGGGACAGCCTAACTGAGGGTGGCAACTGGTTCCAGAGTGACGGCGCTAGGACTGAGAAAGCCCGGTCCCCACGGGTATGACACCTAGAACGAGGGACAGCGAGCAGGCCTTGGTCAGAGGAGCGCAGAGCGTGTGATGGGGAATGTTTGTTCAGGAGAGTGGCCAGATAGGGGGGACCACCACCCTGGAAGAAATGATAAACAAAGACGAGGATTTTGAATTGTGAGCGATAGCAAATCGGAAGCCAGTGCAGGGAGGCCAGAACCGGACTGATGTGGTCCCGTTTCCTGGTCCCAGTCAGTGACTGGGCTGGGCAATGAATAAAAATATTTATCATTATCGAAATTTCTGACCTTTATCAAGGTGATGTTTCCCATGTCAATAAATTTGATAATTGAAAAATGAAAAGATGTGTGTAGGTTGGCAACATTCATGTCGTACCACATAAAATGTGACTCAACATAAACATGTGACAACTCCATCTAGTGGATGACTTTGGTTTCTGCACTTACCTGTAGTTATCGTCCATTTATCGTTATCAAGGTGAAATCCTCAGTATATCGTGATATTGATTTTAGTCCATATCGCCCAACCCTAAGATTTTGAATATATGTATGTGTGTGTGTGTGTGTGTGTGTGTGTATTTTATTTTTTTTTACTTAACAAAGCATTTAATAAAAAATTTTTATTGGCTATATACACTGTAATTAGTTGCCTGTTTATTTCAAGATCCAAGCTGAAACATCAATGATGTCGCTAAACAATTGTCAGTAAACGTGAATTAGAAAAACGCGAGATTTTCCCGTTCCTCAAACGCAGCTCGACCGGTTCTTGTTGCCCTAGCAACGAGCAACGCTGAGAGTTGTTCAACGTGGTACCGCGCTGCGTGAAGTGAATCGCTACAAAATTGTTATTCCGATTAGCACTTCAAAATAAAAGCAACTTAGTGTGAATAATTTCACGGTACATCCCAACTTTATTGAGTTTGTTTTATGTCAGAGTCAAAAAATATTTAATAAGTCAATTTCATCATTATGTAAGCCTCAGTTGTTTAGTATTAGCCTAAGGATTAGTTATAATTTACTTACTGTGAAAAAACGCATGGCTATTTCCGGTTAACTTGTCTACCTCTACATCCGGGGGCCGTTGTTTTCTGTTGACCGCTCCAATATGATGTATCAAGCTCCGTGATTCCCACCGCTGGTGGAATGAGGGACCTGGTAACCGGTAACCAAACCAAACAGACTTCTGGAGACTGACACTACCCGCTGTGTCTGTCGGTATTTATTGTAACGGACAGTAGCTAAATCGCTGACAGTCGGACGCAGCTTAGTTTAATTGTTTTAACAATATTTACTCCGACACAAACCAACATGTCGGAGAGCATCAGCTTATTCGATTTGTTAAACGTATCCATCGGAACACCCCACGAAAGCTCCGTCAACTTCAGCGCCCTTCACGCGCTCCTCCTGGCGGTGCTGAAACAGCTGGACATCCGGGGGCTAAAGATCCAGTGGAGAGGAGGCACTCTTCCCGGAGAAACGTCCCCGGTCACCCCAGACCGACCACTTGAGGGGGAGGATGAGAAGCTGGGTGCGAAAGCGCAGAGGGACGTCTCTGATTCGGAGCAGCAGATCCTGTCCGGTACCGATGGTTCTCCGATCCCGGACCCTGCAGCTGCGATCTTGACCCGCATCCAGACCTGCGAAGGCGGCGTGTCAGAGGTGAGGGTGACGGCTCATCCGGTCAGAAACTGATCGATTAAAAGTTTATTTTTGGAAATGTGATAAAAATCCAGACATGAAATGTTTAGTTGTTATCTGTTATAGTCTGAAGCGGAAAACGTTTGTCGTTTTTCGAAAACGTTCAGGAAACTGAAAAAGTGGATTTCAAATAAAAAGTAGCCTACCATGTCAGAGTAAAACTCTTCAGCTGTCATCACTTTCAGAAGTCATATTTTCAGTCTGTTTGATACTTGCTTTCCTTACTTATCTGGGTTTCATCTCTTGAATTTAGAAGATTGTTCTGTTGAACACCAGATCAGAGTTAAGCAGCTGAAGTCCAAAGAGATAAAAACACTTTACAAAGTCTGATCAAGCCCAGGTTCACTTAAAATATATTGTCTAAAACTGGTTTCAGGGAGCTTCCCCTCTCCTTCTGGAAGCTGAGGCCTCCTTCAGCACCTTCCTGAGACTGAATCAGATGTCACAGATGGAAGAGAGGAAATAAAAAGGCACAAATCAGAGAAATGTTTGGAGGTTATCCATCCAATAAGTTTAATTAGAGTTTCTAACTCATCTAAATTTAAACCCAAATGCAGTAGTGATGGTATTTGACTGTGTAACGTCCAGCTATGGTCAGTTGTAGGCAGGGGTGTAGCACCAAATTCTGGGCCCTAGGTACAAGTCTTCTAGGTGGGCCCCCATGCTCAATTACGTAATATCTCTCTTACACATTTTTTGTCATGCTATAAGACAAGATAAAAAATATGATCTTAGTTTAACCTCTATACTGAGCAAATACAAATGCCAGCATAATAAAAGTGAAATGCCCAGACTTCACATATAATTATTTTTATTTGCCAACAATGTGTTCAAACAAAAATCCTGGAATTTATTTTCCAGTAAATGCCCACTGACGGGTCTTCATGTTAGCAAAATCACTTATGAGATCTTTAAAGTCCAATCCTTTGGCTAATTGGCTTTCAATAGAAAGAAGAGCTAGGCTGTTCAGTCTATCCTGGGACATTGTTGATCTCAAATAATTTTTCACCAGTTTCAGTTTGCTAAAAACCCGTTCACCCCCAGCAACAGTCACAGGTAGTGTGCAAAATATCCTCAGTCCAATACAAACTTCTCCAAAAATGCGCTGTAATTGCATCCTGTAGATGGCATTAAGCAGCTCAAGAGGAGACCGAATGTGTGGAAATGTGGCACCATATATTGTTCTCAGGTGTAGCATCTCATTCTCAAATTCAGCTGTGAGATCCTTGTAATATTTTCTCATCAGTGCCTGGCATGATATCTTCATCTGCTCTTCAGTCATGTCTGTCATAGTTCATGATAAGCTTTGCTAATACTGATATATTGATATATTAAATACATATGACATGAAATAAACCAGGTTCTCTCTGTGAATGTAAGGTACTCTAAATATTATAATCCCTGCATTATCAGCCAAATTATAAGATTGTCCGTTTTCAAGATCAAATATAAAGAAATTTAAAATAGGCTTAAAATATCTAACCAAGTCAATAACAATCCTCTAACACCAGTGTCATCATGCTATACGAAAAACAGTGGCAGCTTCTCATTCCTGAGATTACCACGAATCCATCGATACCAAGTTTGTCCTGGTCCATGACTGGGAAGGAGCTGAAATATCCACACAGAGTGAACCTGTTTTTACTGCGAGGTCCGTGAATTAATTGGCGGCGGCCGCCAGCGATAATAATTCTGATTAATATGTATAAATTAATTAGTGTTATCACTGATAACACTAATTAATTTATATATAATTAATTTATATTTGATCTTGATGGTGAAACTAAAGTCGTTTAACACTGAACACCTAACATGAATGCAGCTTCTGAGAGCTAGCTAATATCAGCTAAAACTGTGTTCTGCTGCTGCTCACCTTCCTTCTTGAAAAACCTAGTCCATACTTAGCCTGGCAAGCCAGACTAAATAAATGTATTATTTAGTCTGGCCACGCTCCATTGACGGCTCTCGGTTGTGGGGCGGGTTCTACCGTTGCCTTTCAAATGATCTCCGCATTCCACTGGACAATGAATGTGACATACTCTTGTTTCACTCTGTTGCATCATCCCACCCACCAGGCA